TTCACCCATGACTGCATGGCCAGGCACGACTCCAACACCATCATTAAGTTTGCCGACGACACAACAGTGGTAGGCCTGATCACCGACAACGATGAGACAGCCTATAGGGAGGAGGTCAGAGATCTGGCCGTGTGGTGCCAGGACAACAACCTCTCCCTCAACGTGACCAAGACAAAGGAGATGATTGTGGACTACAGGAAAAAAAAAGAGGACTGAGCACGCCCCCATTCTCATCGACGGGGCTGTAGTGGAACAGGTTGAGAGCTTCAAGTTCCTTGGTGTCCACATCACCAACGAACTATCATGGTCCAAACACACCAAGACAGTCGTGAAGAGGGCACGACAAAGCCTATTCCCCCTCAGGAGACTAAAAAGATTTGGCATGGGTCCTCAGATCCTCAAAAAATTCTACAGCTGCACCATCGAGAGCATCCTGACTGGTTGCATCACCGCCTGGTATGGCAACTGCTTGGCCTCTGACCGCAAGGCACTACAGAGGGTAGTGCGTACGGCCCAGTACATCACTGGGGCAAAGCTCCCTGCCATCCAGGACCTCTATACCAGGCGGTGTCAGAGGAAGGCCCTCAAAATTGTCAAAGACTCCAGTCACCCTAGTCATAGACTGTTCTCTCTGCTACCGCACGGCAAGCGGTACCGGAGTGCCAAGTCTAGGTCCAAAAGACTTCTCAACAGCTTCTACCCCCAAGCCATAAGACTCCTGAACAGCTAATCATGGCTACCCGGACTATTTGCACTGCCCCCCCACCCCATCCTTTTTACGCTGCTGCTACTCTGTTAAGTATTTATGCATAGTCACTTTAACTCTACCCACATGTACATATTACCTCAACTAGCCGGTGCCCCCGCACATTGACTATGCAACGGTACCCCCCTGTATATATAGCCTCCCTACTGTCACTTTATTCTATTGTATATATAGCCTCCCTACTGTCACTTTATTTTTTACTTCTGCTCTTTTTTTTCTCAACACTTTTTTGTTGTTGTTTTATTCTTACTTTTTTGTTTAAAATAAATGCACTGTTGGTTAAGGGCTGTAAGTAAGCATTTCACTGTAATGTCTGCACCTGTTGTATTCGGCGCATGTGACCAATAAAATTTGATTTGATTTGATTTGATTTTAATATTTACATTTGTTTGATGATCTGAAACATTTAAGTGTGACAAACATGCAAAGAAATCAGGAAGGGGGCAAACACTTTTTCACACCACTGTAACTTTGCATGAGGCATTGGGCGATCAAGTGAAGACAAATGAACACAAAGTATACATTATCACAAGGCCATATTGACCTACCAAAGTCTTGCATGATCATGGTGTGAGGCATCTTTAACTCCTGTGTGTGTAGCTCCAAGACCCCTCCGCCGTGGTCCATCTCTTTTGATCTTAAAAAGGCTTAAATCAAATTATTTATGTTAGGCCTCCACATAATTTCAAGAGGTTCGATATTCGTTACACACTGTGTGTGAATTCATGAATGTCAGAGGATCAGGGCCGGTATCCACCAAGCATCTCAGAGTAGGAGGGCTGAACTAGAATCAGTTTGTCCTTTAGATCATAATGAATAATATTGTGTGGACAGATCCTAGATCAGTACTCCTACTCTGACACTTTGTGGATACAGGCCCTGGATATTGACTAGTGTCTGTGTGTATTACCTTCACATTTGATGCCAATGCTCTCTAAAATAAGAACAGTGTGTTGATGGTGTTTCTTCCTTCCATCACGGGAGAGAACCCTTCGAAGAAGGGACAACATAAACTGTGAAATAGATGCCACTGAAAACATTGATCTTTCATCCAGGGATCACAAGAGGAAGTGTGTGGAAAGACTGATGACATCACATATCCAGTAGATATCTGATCCCTCACAAACATCTTCTGTGTAAGCTATTTTCTGATGATAAGGATGCTGAAACTGAGGTATTCTTGCTACTGTCATAGCTGTGTCTGTCTTGACATAATTAATGGCTGGAAAAATATGACCACATACTTAATTGGTGCTGCAGTGGAAACTGTTGATGAGTTAACACTTGTTGATGCCATTTGACTCAGTCCTAGCTCATTTGGAATATGAATGAATAATGAGATATTGGGACATATTTCTATTATGCGACGGTTTCAGCTTTCAATGTCGAAAAGGACCTAGAAGGAATATAACGGTTGTTTTTCCTGCTTCATAATTGCAATGATTTGAGCTGTCCCACACACGCCCACATTCATTGCCCAATTTCATGGTTGCCTGGATTATGCAACTGTAGGGCATGCTAGCGAGCACTCGCTATTTAAAACAAATCAAGAGAACCAACTAGTTAGTGTTACTACTTCCACCTGATTGCTAAATGTTCGTGGTAACACTTGCAAACATGTTAGTCAATCCACATTCATTGGGTGGCGGTGGGGTAGAGGGCTATGTCTATTGGGCTAGCCAACTAGCTAATAACTAAGCAAGCTTGTTCGGCGTTGTGCAGACGTTTTGCGGCAATGTCGACATCTGGGGGGAAATTCCACAAACGCAACGTTGTGCAATACTGCAATGAAAGGGATGTATATAACATTAATAAGTAGTTGAACCGTTTGTATAGTGTTTGGTGGCTGTTATTTACGGTGTATTTATATCTGAAACGTTGCGCCCACAACAACCTTAGCTAGTTAGCCTCGATTCCGCCATTTTGGTTAGCTAGTTTGTTAGCTAGCGTGTTTTAAAACTCCATAAACCGCCATAAATCAACGATTGGTGCTAAATGAACACAATGATACCCCCAAATAAATACAATCAACGTGTGCATTCACAACATTACTCGTAGCTAAACATTTATCGATGCATTTGTAAATGCGAAAGGACATTAGCTAGCTAGCCTAGCATGTTAGCTAGCGCATGCGGCATTATCAACCATGTTGTTTTCCGACGGGCTGAAGAAGGCCCGCAACGGCCGACTGGGCCTTAGTCTCATAATCGATATGCAATTTCAATCGTTTCGAAATGTTTTACCTGATTATGGACTCCTTCAAATGTATCGTCGATATTTCTCCTTTCTCGGTTTTGTCTGTTATTGTTTGTGTTTATTTTTCGACACTAAGCTAAATGCGGCCTGTACATTTGGATCCCCGGGCACTCTTTCCGAGGCCTGGGCCAATCACGTTGCTCGCTCGCAACCAAGGGAGGGCGGGGGGGCCAGACAATGCGTGGCCTCGTTTAGCGCTGATCTCTGTCTATATGCGTCACGCAAGAGAGCTTTGAGTCCAAATCGATGTTGACACAAAGAGAACTTGCCATTTACCTACTGATCAGGATTGTTACAGCAGTTGATGAAATAAGAATATACATTTGTGTTTATATGCGTGTGCTTATCAGGCAGGGTTCAACATTGGATAGAGGACAGCAGTGCATTGAAGTTACAATGAATCATGTGCATACACATCATTCATGTTCCCTAATAAAGTTGTCCCCTACTATGACAGTTACACATTTTGGAATAGACACATTGCATGGTGGGATTATTCTTAGGTTCTGAGTTTCAATCACAGAACAGATTTTTTTTATATATACCAGAATTTGTTCCAGCTTTCAGCACGTCAACCTCTGGTCCATGCATGCAGAGCAAAGGAAGAGCATCTACATGAGAAACAAAGTAAACATTCAAGTTCTGGGTAGGTTTTATTGTCATTACAGTTCCTGATTTTCAGAGAAACTCTGCACGAGGGTGCATAGCTGGTTGTCTTAGAAAAGGCATGAGGCCTTTGCTTCGTGCATGACGCAAGTATGAAAATGTATGTACTCACTAACTGTAAGTCGCTCTGGATAAGAGCATCTGCTAAATGACTAAAAAGTCAAATAAACCGTTAATTTTATTAGTACAGTGGTATTCAAAAACCAAAACTCAGATTCACCTACCGATATGCAGTAAAAACAACTGTGGTAAATTAATGCACAGTATTTCAACTACAAGTAGTACTTTATTGGATTTTAGAAACAGTGCTGCAGCAACAGAAATGCACCTTGGCACAAATAATTTAACCCAACAATAACGTTTTTTTCTTAAGGGGGTCTTGATGGAAGGGCAGTGTGGTCCAGAGATGTTGCGTTGTTGTGTCAGACTCAGCAAAACACATATACAACACTTATCATTATAAAGGAATCACAACCAATCGCTCACAAACATTCAAAAAACCTTCCCACACGCATCAACATGGGGTTTGTTCCTTGGAAGAACAGACTTACTATTGATAAGGCTATATATAACCAAAAAAAACTAACTTCTTTGTCCTTGGAGGAAAGAAAACTAAACAGAAACATCATGCAACACCCAAGTTGCAGATGAGATCACCTTCATATCAGTCAGAGTTCAACTTCACACACACACAATAGAACAAACATTCCACCCAAAGTCTTCAATAACTTGTACATCTACAGAACGTAAACAAATCAAATAACAACCCTTAGTCTTCTCTCAACAACTATCATCATAAAATATAGACTGGAATTGGAATCGACTTGTTAAAAACATCTTCTGTACTCTGGAAGCTCTGTCTAGGTCCATACAGCGAAAGAACGGTGTGTGTGTGTGCGCTCAGTCACTCTCCAGTGTATCCGTGGTGTGAGAGGATTCTTCATGCCAGGGAAGGTCTGTTCAGAGTCAGTACGTAATGTTGGATTTGTTTATACTAAAACGTGAGGTAAAGGAGAGAGCTGGAGGAAGTTTCCTTGTTGCCTCAGTAGCAGCCGTCTCTCCATGACTCATTTGAGATTGGGCCATTCGTTCTAGTCATCCCCATAGACCTAACAAATAAAGAAAACAATGACATGAGTCTTGATACCTGTAAAAGTGCCTTTCAAACGGTTTGTGGCCGCCACTGATAAGGAGTAATCACGTTTAACCAACGGAATGACTGTCTGAAAATCACACTCCTATCAACTCCCTTTATGAGAAGTAATCATCCTAAGTCATAATGCTGAATGTGTATTTCTAAATGATCAATCAATCACCTTCTGGGTGTCTGGGCCAGTCTTCCCCTGGAGGATGGGGCTGCTGCTTGCCTCCCACTCCCAGTAGAGGCTCTCCCAGTTGGGTAGGTTCCCCCGTTGGGAGGCCCTGGGGACTGGACCCTCCGTAACCCTCCATTGGGTCTACTCTGGACTACAGGCAGGCCCCTGGAAGGCTGGCGGGTCCCCGGCATGGAGCCCATGGCTTTGACAGGGACCCGCATGGACAGAGGGGACTGGCCACTGCCTCGCATCCGACTGGATGACATACCTGGGGGGGGGGGGGGGGGATGGGCATAATGAGATGGGTTTAGGAGAGTGCTATCCACACTCTCACACTGCAAAGTAGTACACTCAAAAAGTATACATGTGTTCTTCTCCCTTATTTAATGTTCATATGCCAATGCTCTGATGACAGTACAATACAGGAAATGAGGGAGAAGGGCACATATTCTCTGTACACTTGAGATCAGGAATTGTGGCAGCAAAGAGTTGTAGGCTAGATGCCTGTACCCAGAGGAATATTAGTGGAACTGAGGAGTATAACCAGGGAGGGAGGAAGGTCTGATTTAGCTGGTGACAATGGTTACTTGAGGAACAGGTAAGGGTTACCTGAGGGGAGTAGGGTAGGTGTGAGACAGGTAAGGGTTACCTGAGGGGAGTAGGGTAGGTGTGAGACAGGTAAGGGTTACCTGAGGGGAGTAGGGTAGGTGTGAGACAGGTAAGGGTTACCTGAGGGGAGTAGGGTAGGTGTGAGACAGGTAAGGGTTACCTGAGGGGAGTAGGGTAGGTGTGAGAGGCTCCCTCTGAACCACTCAGGATAGGGTAGGCAGTATCAGGTTCCATTTGAGAGAGTGGGGAAGGTATAGGCCAGGTTTAGGAGAGGGTTACCTGGGGGGGCAGGTGTACATGCCAGGTTTAGGTGAGGGTTACCTGAGGAGGGGGCAGGTGTACAGGCCAGGTGAGTTACCTGAGGAGGGGGCAGGTGTACAGGCCAGGTGAGAGTTACCTTAGCTGGTAGAGCACGGCGCTTGTAACGCCAAGGTAGTGGGTTCGATCCCCGGGACCACCCATACACAAAAAATGTATGCACGCATGACTGTAAGTCGCTTTGGATAAAAGCGTCTGCTAAATGGCATATTATTATTACCTGAGGAGGGGGCAGGTGTACAGGCCAGGTGTAGGAGGGTTACCTGAGGAGGGGGCAGGTGTAGGAGGGTTACCTGAGGAGGGGGCAGGTGTACAGGCCAGGTGAGAGTTACCTGAGGAGTGGGCAGGTGTACAGGCCAGGTGAGAGTTACCTGAGGAGGGGGCAGGTGTACAGGCCAGGTGAGAGTTACCTGAGGAGGGGGCAGGTGTACAGGCCAGGTGTAGGAGGGTTACCTGAGGAGGGGGCAGGTGTACAGGCCAGGTGTAGGAGGGTTACCTGAGGAGGGGGCAGGTGTACAGGCCAGGTGTAGGAGGGTTACCTGAGGAGGGGGCAGGTGTACAGGCCAGGTGAGAGTTACCTGAGGGGCCAGGTGTACAGGCCAGGTGAGGGTTACCTGAGGAGGGGGAGTGGGGCAGGTGGGATATGCGGTTGCCAGAGCTCTGGAGGTTAGCCTCCATGCTGCGGCTGTTCCTGACCGCCTCCAGGGAACGCAGGCTGGTGCGGGGGGCCAGGTTAGGCATGCTGTGCCTCAACTCTTCTGGAACCACACACACACACAGTTTGAGTTGGAGAAAGACTGAACTGAAACTACGTTCTATAGAACTAATCAATTTATAAGTAATGTCTTCAAACAATACAGAGTACATCTAACTGACAATTCCATGTAGTTGTGATTGTGTACAGACACTGCTATGTGTTCGGTTTGTGTGTGATGCATGAACACTCCTCTCCAGTCTCCACCTACCCTCGGTCTTGGCGAACTTTAGCAGCTCGGGCCCGGGCCCCTGTAGCGATCGGCGTGGAGCGCGTTGTCGGGGGGCCCCCAGCCTGCTGTACTCCGCCTGGCCCTGGGAGGCCGTGGAGGGGGAGAGGCAGCGGGGCGAGCCCAGGGGAGAGGGGGAGTAGCGGAGGCGTCGCTGGGGCAGAGAGCAACACTCATCCTCCTCATCCTCCAGGCTGTAGGTATCAAACTCCTGGTCGCTGTAGGTCCCACCCCGACGTAGAGACTGGAGGGAGGCAGAGGAACTACGACGAGACACTGAGGCAGAGCTGGAGGCATAGTCCTGTCTCAGACCTGAGAGAGAGGAGACAGAGAGTTACAGGGCCTGGACGCTGCCACAGGTGAGGACGTACACATGAAAGAACAAGCGTCTACTGGCTTGTTTGTGTATTTAGTATCTACATGCAATTGGACAATAACTCAAAGACATGGACACACCCACCCACACATTACAAACACAGTCCTGCCCTAAGTACACACTACGACAGAGTCAGCATATTGACAGTCTTCTTGATCAGCTACCGGTGGCATATTGACAAGCACAATGATGTAACCCTTTAGACTTTGGTAACACAGTATTCTACACAACACCACTCACTCTCTTCCTGAAACACATTATCACGGCAGTCATTATCCTTCACAACACCACTCACTCTCTTCCTGAAACACATTATCACGGCAGTCATTATCCTTCACAACACCACTCACTCTCTTCCTGAAACACATTATCACAGCAGTCATTATCCTTCACAACACCACTCACTCTCTTCCTGAAACACATTATCACAGCAGTCATTATCCTTCACAACACCACTCACTCTCTTCTTGAAACACATTATCACGGCAGTCATTATCCTTCACAACACCACTCACTCTCTTCCTGAAACACATTATCACAGCAGTCATTATCCTTCACAACACCACTCACTCTCTTCCTGAAACACATTATCACGGCAGTCATTATTCTACACAACACAACTCACTCTCTTCCTGTAGGCGGGCCATGATCTGGACGTCAGTGAGGTCCTGTAGCTTGTAACCCATGGAGATGGAGTCGTCTGAGGTACTCAGTTCACTGTCTATAGAAGACTGGGAACTCAGAGCAGAGTGTACACTCATGTAGCCTGGAGATACAAGAACACAACCATGATTTAGATCACACTCTCCTTCAGAATCCATCCACAGGTTTGTCCCACACAACTGCCCCTTCAAAACAAGGACTATAATACAGCCTGAAAACCAAGGACATGCAACTATACATTATCCATCCACAGCTATACAGTAGACAATTCTCTTCATTAGTCTAATCAGAGACTGAGGGCTGGTCCAGTAACAATCTGTGTGTGGAGACCTGAGAACACTACACTATGGAGCTAGGGGTTGTTTCTGGACCAGGCCTGCATTATGACAGGAGATATCTAGTCCTGACTTCCCTGTCTGTCCTGCTGTATTTGTCTAGACACAGTGCTGAGGACAGCTGGAAGCATGAGGCGTCTACTAGGCCATCGTCTGACACACACACACACACACACACACACACACACACACGTCATTCAAACTGAAACAGAAGCAACAACAGCATCCAGGGTGTTTGGTTATATAACAGATATGGGATTAGGAGGGGTCACCAGCAAGCAAAGCATTTACATCCTTCATGCAAAGAGTGTTATTTACAGTCTGCGTTCATCATAACATAAGCATTGTGTTGGTTTACATAGCGCCACCCACGTATTGAGAAGTTAAAACGTTTGTTTTCCCAGTATCGCTAAGGGCCGAAGTATTTGATATCCACACCACTCTGCAAAGCAAGCCTGTAAATGCCATTAGTTTTGGAGAAATTATTATCAATGCATAACATAAGATACCATTCAGCATCTTAGCTGTAGTAGGCCAATATACACAAGAGATCCAACCTTTGACCCTTTACGTTGTTGAGTTGAGGAGAACAACCCTTTGAAAACATGAAACACTTGTTACAAACCTGTTATTTTAAAGTCCTACTCCAGTCTCCCTTTCAGCTCATTCATCACCTGATTTACTTAACAAAAAGCACATCTCAAAAGGTGGTCCAGGTGTCCAAATTACTGTATTTATACATGTGATATTGTTTTTCTACAGGAAAAGTTCTTTAAGAACATTTGTATATATAAAATATTTTTTTACCCCTTTTTCTCCCCAATTTCGTGATATCCAATTGGTAGTTACAGTCTTGTCCCATCACTGCAACTCCCGTACGGACTCTGGAGAGGCGAAGGTCGAGAGCCATGCGTCCTCCGAAACACGACCCTGCCAAGCCGCACTGCTTCCTGACACACTGCTCGCTTAACCCGGAAGCCAGCCGCACCAATGTGTCAGAGGAAACACTGTACAACTTGCGACCTAGTCAGCGTGCATGTGCCTGGCCCGCCACAGGAGTCGCTAGAGCGCAATGGGACAAAGACATCCCGGCCGGCCAAACCCTCCCCTAACCCGGACGACGCTGGGCCAATTGTGCATCGCCTCATGGGTCTCCCGGTTGCGGCCGGCTGCAACACAGCCCGGGATCGAACCCGGATCTATAGTGATGCCTCGAGCACTGCAGTGCCTTACACCGCTGCGCCACTCGGGAGGTCCATCTTTAAGGACTTATGGAGTTTAAAAAAATCTGATAGTACTTTATCTTGAGTTCCACCAACACTGTTAAAACACTGTGGAGAGAGAGAGAGCAGCTGAAAGTAAAGAAGCGTGGTGGTGTGTATTAATATCATGCGTACCTGAGCCACCACTGGTTAGTAGGGTTTTGTTAGTGGATTTGTTGTGGTACCCAGGAGAGAGGAGGCCAGAGCCAGAGGAACCAGCGTCCCCCGTCTGACCAGAGCTGCTGTAGATGTTCCTCCAGCGAGACGCTAAAGGCACACAGGAGAGGAGACAGGAGAGGAGACAGGAGAGGAGACAGGAGAGGAGACAGGAGAGGAGACAGGAGAGGAGACAGGAGAGGAGACACAGTTACATAAACAGAGTCAAGGCACAGTTTAAAGGCAGCCTGTATCGTGCAAAAATAGTGTTTACTTCACTAGAGTGTTAGGACTTTTTTTTGGACAAAATCTGTGACCTTGTAGACAAATAAAACACCTTCGGTGGAAGTGAGTATGTGTGCTCAGGATTCCTTTACCGGTTCTTTAGGTACCGAGTCTGAAGTGAACAAGAACTTTAAAAGTAATTCCTGAGCAAAAGAGAAATGACAACTTTCATCATCGTTTCTCAAATGGTCGGCCGTGGTTGGTTCATTTTAAAACTGTTGCAAAAGACAGAGTCGAGACTAGAGGCATTGGTTTGGTGTATTTAGTAGGACAGAGGACAATTACAAGAGCTTTAGGTGGGACCCTGTCTGTGCCTGTACAAAAAGAGCTTTAGGTGGGACCCTGTCTGTGCCTGCACAAAAAGAGCTTTAGGTGGGACCCTGTCTGTGCCTGTACAAAAAGAGTTTTAGAACTTGCTGTCCTATAGCAATACTTATATAAGAGCTAACAATGGAGGCTATGACACAACATTAATTCCTAGGGCAATGGGTTCTATATGGTTACTTCATCAAGTGTCATTGTTTACTGATATACACTGTTTGCCACTACCGTCATTCTATTAAGCGCCATTGGGGTCTATATTTTGACTGACTTCACACAGCGTCACTGTCGGCCACTACCTTCATTCAGACTCATTGCCGGAGCCAATGGGCCACAACAACACAAGTTTGGCAGGGTGTAACTGTTCTAGATCACCCTTATAGGCTATGAGAGGTAGCAATGAGGCTATGGCAGGTCATTATTCCTAAGGCACTGGTTCCTATATCTTTTATTTACTTCATCCAGGAAGCAATATTGCTTGCTATTCACTGTTTGCCATTGGCTCATTGTGCAATTTGCCACAACAAGTTTGGGAGGGTGAAACTGTCCAATATCACACTTATATAACATGACTCATAACTATGGGGTAGGTTATAACCTAGTGAATGATTTCCTATATTTGCCTGCTGCAGTGGGTAGTTTATGTAATCTAGCACGTTCAGGAGTTATCTTTCATCTTTTCTACAATCAAGTCAACTCTGGGACTGTAATCTCCTGTGCATGTTAACCTTTCACTTCTAAAGTGGGTAGTTTCATGCCCCGACAGACAGTTGTGTTCTGGTGCTATAAGACTATCCAACCCAGGACAAGGTAATCCAACCAAACACCCCACCTCTACACCGTGATATCATGTGGTCATTGAGCCATGCCCTGGTCGGGTGTGAATGGCTTGGTTGTTGAAGTTCGGTAGCTGCAGACGCACACCGGATAAATAATGAGGGGGTGTGCTGCTGGTAAACTACTGGTGATTGCTGAGCTGCTGGGAATCTCTCTCTAAGTTAGGAGCACCAGATAAGATTTTTTACATTGATTGAGATGCAGCCTATATTGGGACGATATGAATTCTAGCTACTTTTTAAGCACGTGCCCTAGAAACTAATATGTAACACTGTAAAGACAGTTTATTATAAAAGCAGCTATAACGTTAATACGAATACCTGTCATTGAAATTACAAAATAATTTGTGGAATATTAGGTTTCTACATTGTGTAAAAGCACAATTTTCCTATCGAGATGCATTACATTGACAATTGTACACTATCGCTTTAAAATGTCAGGTTTGTGATGACGACATGCAAGAGATGTCATACATTGCTGTGATTGTTAATCTCCTGAAGAAACTATTCCTTTTCCTTGCTTTCTTTGCCCCCAAATGTTTGGATTTACTAGTAAAGTTACCAGGTTGTTAGCTAGCTAATGAGGTAATATGACTGAACAAATTGTAAACAAATAGTTAACGGCGCGCGAGTAGTCTTAGAACGGCCCAGGACATTTTAGTCATTTAGCAGACGCTCTTATCCAGAGCCACTTACAGTTAGTGAGTGCATACATTTTTCATACTGGCCCCCCGTGGGAATCGAACCCACAACCCTGGCGTTGCAAGCGCCATGCTCTACCAACTGAGCTACAGGAGGCTCAGGACATGGTTTATGAACGTAAAATGCGGTCCCGTAGATCCTAAAGGATGCATACTTTCACAGAAAATTCCTGAGATTCCATTAGGAGGTGATAACCTACGAGTTTTTGGTACTCCCGTTCGGCTTGTCCCTCTCGCCTCGCGTATTTTCAAAAGGTGGTGGAAGCCAGGGGCAGGGTATTGGCCTATCTGGACGATTGACTGATAGCAGGGGAGTCAAGGAAACAAGTGGTGTTACACACATCCAGGCTGGTGTCCCATGTTCAGTCTCTAGGTTTTATTGTAAACCAGAAAAATAGCTATGTAACCCCATTGCAGCGCATTCCATTCCTGGGGCTCGAGTCAGACTCGCGCTTTTCTATCCCGAAAAGGGGGTCCGGGTTCCAGCTCTGCTTGGCCAAATTTCAATTGGGGCGCACAGTACATTTTTGCAAGTTCCTGCGCCTACTGGGGATAATGGCTTCTATGATAGCGGTCATTCCCCTAGCACCATTATCCTCACCCTGGCTCGCTCCCTGTTGCTGCGGAGCAGTGCGCATTTTCTCTCATGTCGACCGACGCATGTTCCTGGTTGCCTCAACTCGGGTGCCGATCTGCTATCTAGGGGGGGCCTCTTCCTCAGGAGTGGAGACTACTCCCCTGGGTGGTTGCCCAGATACAGGGGAGGTTCGGCAGAGCCCATGTAGATCTTTATGCATCGTGAGGCCGGGGATTTGGCACGAGAGGCCGGGGATTTGGTTCCTATGGTCCCAGAGAGGGCCAATCTGATGGCTAGGGGATTACCTCCGAATGTCATTGCTACCATTCAGTCTGCAAGGGCGCCCTCCACAAGAGGGCTGTTTGCGTATTAGTGGCAAGCGTTTGAGCCCTGGTGCCAAGATAAAGGGCTGGTTCCTTTTCAGTGCTCTGTGAGGGACATCCTGATGTTCCTACAGGAGCTTTTCGAGCAGTGTACATGGCCGCTATCGCAGCGCGTCATGTGGGAATTGACGGAGCCTCACCGGGGGGGGGGGGCTCACCCCATGGTGGTGCGGTTCCTGAAAAGGTGTACGTCGTCTTAGACCGGTATCTAAACCTATTGCGCCTACATGGGACTTGGTGCTGGTTTTGGGGGCGCTGTGTGCGGCCCCCTTTGAGCTTCTGGAATTGGTGGATCCTCTCCTACAAAACCCCCCTGCTCAATGCTTTGGCCTCGGCTAAATGTGTTGGGGACCTCCACCCGTACACCCTTCCTGTACTCAGTTCGCCCCGGGCAACTCTGGAGTGACGTTGCGTCAAAATGAGACCGTCGCCCCAAAAGTCATGGCTATGTCCTACAGGTCCTTAGCTTTTGATCCATTTCCCTTTTCGCCTCCTGCTTTTGCTTCTGAAGAGCAACAGAGGTTGAATGCCCTGTGTCCAGTGCGAGCTTTACACATGTACATTGAATGGACCCAGAATATCCAGTTATGTGACCAGCTTTTTGTCTGTTTTGCTAATCCAGCTCGCGGCAGTGCGCTCTCTAAGCAGCGACTCTCCCACTGGATTGTATCTCCCAGGCATATAGCGGCAAGGGTCAAGGGTTACCTAGCGGTGTATGTGCCCACTCCACCAGGGGTCTGGCAGCGTCTTGGGCGTTGTTTAAAGGATTTTTTATTTTTATTTCACCTTTATTTAACCAGGTAAACCAGTTGAGAACAAGTTCTCATTTACAACTGCGACCTGGCCAAGATAAAGCAAAGCAGTGCGATAAAAACAACAACACAGAGTTACATATGGGGTAAAACAAAACAAAATCAAAAATACAACAGAAATACATATATATACAGTGTGTGCAAATGTAGCAAGTTATGGAGGTAAGGCAATAAATAGGCTATAGTGCAAAATAATTACAATTAGTATTAACACTGGAATGATAGATGTGCAAGAGATGATGTGCAAATAGAGATACTGGGGTACAAATGAGCAAAATAAATAACAATATAGGGATGAGGTAGTTGGGCGGGCTAATTTCAGATGGGCTGTGTACAGGTGCAGTGATCGGTAAGGTGCTCTGACAACTGATGCTTAAAGTTAGTGAGGGAGATAAGTGTCTCCAGCTTCAGAGATTTTTGCAATTTGTTCCAATCATTGGCAGCAGAGAACTGGAAGGAATTGCGGCCAAAGGAGGTGTTGGCTTTGGGGATGACGAGTGAGATATACCTGCTGGAGCGCAGACTACAGGTGGGTGTTGCTATGGTGACCAATGAGCTAAGATAAGGCGGGGATTTGCCTAGCAGTGATTTATAGATGGCCTGGAGCCAGTGGGTTTGGCGACGAATATGTAGTGAGGACCAGCCAACAAGAGTGTAGTATAGTGGTGGGTAGTATATGGGGCTTTGGAGACAAAACGGATGGCACTGTGATAGACTATATCCAATTTGCTGAGTAGATTGACTATAGGAGATATTTGTGCTGCGGGGAGTTGGCCATCACCACACACTTTTGTGAGGTTTGGGGTGTGATTATATTTTTTATATTATATTTATATTTTCCCCATAGTATGTTGTATCGAAGTTGACTGACAAAGGGAATGTAACGTTATGACTATAACTACTGTACCCTGAAGGAGGGAAACGAGGTACAACACCGGTTTGGCCCCGCACCGCCTGTTCCTGGGCTCGGTGAAGAGCGCTATTAAATTGAAGGAATGAATCCAAGCCTCACGCTTATCACCTGTGGAACACGGGGCTTCCAGCGAGGCACAGATTTCATTGGCCATGTCAGGCGTGATTGTAGATCATCTCAACTGAAGGCGCTAGAGTGAGACTCCCTATAGTATGACGTACCTCATTTCCCTCCTTCAGGGAACAACAGTTATAGTCATAACGTTACGTTATTGAATAGGAGGCCGTACTGGTTATTGCCTCAGGTAATGTGTTATGACTGCATTCACTGGTGGACAGTGGCAAACTCATATTTTTTAAAAATGAGTTTATTGCTCGTGATGAGGTTATTGTGTGTCGGACAGGAGCGTTGCTTTGTGCTGGTACTGTTGCGTTGTTATTAGGTTGTTGGTATAGGGTTACTGAGAACTGGCAGGAAGCAAGGTTATTGTAGAAGGGTTCCTACAGGGTTGTTATAATGTTATTGTATGGTTATTATGGTTATCAAAAGGTTGTATATGGGCGGCAGGTAGCTTAGTGGTTAAGAGCGTTGTGCCAGTAACCGAAAGGTCGCTGGTGCTAATCCCCGAGCCGACTAGGTGAAAAATCTGTCGATGTGCCCTTGAGCAAGGCACTTAACCCGAATTGCTCCTGTAAGTCGCTCTGGATAGGAGTGTCTGCTAAATGACTAAAATGTAAGTGTATATGGTTATTATTCTAGGATTACTATAAGGTTATTGTACATGTTATTACATGGTTAGTATAAGGTCATTATAAAGGTGACTATGTGGTTACTATAGTATAGTTACTTTAGAGTTGTTATATGGTCATTATAAAAGGTTACTAGGTAGGTGCGTACCCTGGTCGAGACGGTTGAGCAGGGTACGACAGGCCACCTCTGTCTCTGGGCTGGGGTGGTCCAGAACCTTCCGACACCACTTCAGAGGAGACTCAGGTCTGGGCTCAGCAACTACCTGCTTCTTAGGGGAGACATACAACCTGCAGAGAGACGAGGCAGGGAGAGAGGGAAGGGACGAGGCAGGGAGACGAGGCAGGGAGAGGGAAGAGACGAGGCAGAGAGAGGGAAGAGACGAGGCAGAGAGACGAGGCAGAGAGAGGGAAGAGACGAGGCAGAGAGAGAGGGACGAGGCAGGGAGAGAGACGAGGCAGAGAGAGGGAAGAGACGAGGCAGAGAGAGGGAAGAGACGAGGCAGAGAGAGGGGGAGAGGGAAGAGACGAGGCAGAGAGAGGGGGAGAGGGAAGAGACGAGGCAGAGAGAGGGGGAGAGGGAAGAGATGAGGCAGAGAGAGGGGGAGAGGGAAGAGACGAGGCAGAGAGAGGGGGAGAGGGAAGAGACAATGCAGGGAGAGGGAAGAGACGAGGCAGGGAGAAGAGACGGGGCAGGGAGAGGGAAGAGATGGGGCAGGGAGAGAGGGAAGAGACGAGGCAGGGAGAGGGGGAGAGGGAAGAGACGAGGCAGGGAGAGAAAGCAGAGAGATGTGGTGGATAAAAGAGGCGCGCAGCGATGAAAGGAAGAGGAGTATGAGAAAGGAGGTGGTGGATGGAAAGAGGGAGAGGGAGAGCAAGAGAGAGGTGATTTACATTTTGCAAAGCCTTAAAGCCTGTTCATGGGGATAAGAACACAGCATTAATGGTTCTCTGGCCTGCGAGTTTTGCATTTAATAACTTTTATTACGTGGGAATGTCTGCAGGAGGCATGTCTTCTACGTGGGAATGTCTGCAGGAGGCATGTCTTCTACGTGGGAATGTCTGCAGGAGGCATGTCTTCTACGTGGGAATGTCTGCAGGAGGCATGTCTTCTAGTCTTCTGGTCTAATGCATGGTGGAACACAACCACACTAATCACCTACTACTAGAAATAGGCTAGCCATAGAAGATAGACTCCACTTGTTCCAACACAACACACATAAGGCATAGCCATAGGCTAAACCATCCAATTATCCAATCCTAGACGGTCACCACTCCACACACAGCTCATCTCAACCCATTTAGGTCTGCCCATTCTAGCCTATCCCATATTCCCAGGCAATAACCACAGTCCACAGCAGTAGCAGTGCTGTGTGTGCGCTCACCCATCCCTGGCAGTGGCCTCTTCCCTCTACAGTAGCAGTATCATGGCCCCATCTCCTAATGAGGGCTCTACTGTACAGTCGTGGTCAAAAGTTCAGAATGACACAAATACTAATTTTCACAAAGTCTGCTGCCTCAGTTTTGATGATGGCAATTTGCATATACTCCAGAATGTCATGAAGAGTGATCAGATGAATTGCAAAGTCCCTCTTTGCCATGAAAATTTACTTAATCCCCAAAAAACATTTCCACTGCATTTCAGCCCTGCCACAAAAGGACCAGCTGCAATCATGTCAGTGATTCTCTCGTTAACACAGGTGAGTGTTGACGGGGACAAAGCTGGAGATCACTCTGTCATGCTGATTGAGTTAGAATAACAGACTGGAAGCTTTAAAAAGAGGGTGGTGCTTGAAATCATTGTTCTTCCTCTGTTAACCATGGTTACCTGCAAGGAAACACACGCTGTCATCATTGCTTTGCACAAAAAGGGCTTCACAGGCAAGGATATTGCACCTAAATCAACCATTTATCGTATTATCAAGAACTTCAAGGAGAGAGGTTCAATTGCTGTGAAGAAGGCGTCAGGGCGCCCAAGAAAGTCCAGCAGCGCCAAGACCATCTCCTAAAGTTGATTCAGCTGCGGGATCAGGAATGGCAGCAGGCAGATGTGAGTGCATCTGCACGCACAGTAAGGCGAAGACTTTTGGAGGATGGCCTGGTGACAAGAAGGGCAGCAAAGAAGCCACTTCTCTCCAGGAAAAACATCAGGGACAGACTGATATTCTGCAAAAGGTATAGGGATTGGACTGCTGAGGACTGGGGTAAAGTCATTTTCTCTGATGAATCCCCTTTCCGATTGTTTGGGGCATCCGGAAAACACCTTGTCCAGAGAAGACAAGGTGAGCACTACCATCAGTCCTGTGTCATGCCAACGGTAAAGCATCCTGAGACCATTCATGTGTGGGGTTGCTTCTCAGCCAAGGGAGTGGGCTCACTCACAATTTTGCCTAAGAACACAGTCATGAATAAAGAATGGAACCAACACATCCTCCGAGAGCAACTTCTCCCAACCATCCAAGAACAGTTTGGTGATGACCAATGCCTTTTCCAGCATGATGGAGCATCTTGCCATAAGGCAAAAGTGATAACTAAGTGGCTCGGGGAACAAAATATTGACATTTTGGGTCCATGGCCAGGAAACTCCCCAGACCTTAATCCCATTGAGAACTTGTGGTCGATCCTCAAGAGGCAGGTGGACAAACAAAAACCCACAAATTCTGACAAACTCCAAGCATTGATTATGCAAGAATGGGCTGCCATCCGTCAGGATGTGGCCCAAAAGTTAATTGACAGCATGCCAGGGCGGAATACAGAGGTCTTGAAAAAGAAGGGTCAACACTGCAAATATTGACTCTTTGCATAAACTCAATGTAATTGTCAATAAAAGCCTTTGACACTTATGGAATGCTTGTAATTATACTTCAGTATTCCATAGTAACATCTGACAAAAATATCTCATAACACTGAAGCAGCGAACTTTGTGAAGACTAATACTTGTGTCATTCTCAAAACTTTTGACCACAACTGTACTGTCCTCTCCCAGCCATCACTGTGCATTAGCTTCTACTGCATGAGTTGTCTGAAATAGGCACTACATGCTGTAGGTGTGCCCACTGTAGACAACGTGCCTAGTCGACTACACAACCACCTCTTGACAAGGTGATGATCTCAACTGATATCAATACGTGTGACTTGAACATCCGTGATCGGCCTGATAGTCCTGAACATCCGTGATCGGCCTGATAGTCCTGCATTCTTTTTGTATTGCTTTGACCGTTTCTAGAGTACATCAAATCAAATTGTATTTGTCACATACAGTGGGGAGAACAAGTATTTGATACACTGCCGATTTTGCAGGTTTTCCTACTTACAAAGCATGTAGAGGTCTGTAATTTTTTATCATAGGTACACTTCAACTGTGAGAGACGGAATCTAAAACAAAAATCCAGAAAATCACATTGTATGATTTTTTAGTAATTAATTTGCATTTTATTGCATGACATAAGTATTTGATCACCTACCAACCAGTAAGAATTCCGGCTCTCACAGACCTGTTAGTTTTTCTTTAAGAAGCCCTCCTGTTCTCCACTCATTACTTGTATTAACTGCACCTGTTTGAACTCGTTACCTGTATAAAAAGACACCTGTCCACACACTCAGACTCCAACCTCTCCACAATGGCCAAGACCAGAGAGCTGTGTAAGGACATCAGGGATAAAATTGTAGACCTGCACAAGGCTGGGATGGGCTACAGGACAATAGGCAAGCAGCTTGGTGAGAAGGCAACAACTGTTGGCGCAATTATTAGAAAATGGAAGAAGTTCAAGATGACGGTCAATCAACCTTGGTCTGGGGCTCCATGCAAGATCTTACCTCGTGGGGCATCAATGATCATGAGGAAGGTGAGGGATCAGCCCAGAACTACACGGCAGGACCTGGTCAATGACCTGAAGAGAGCTGGGACCACAGTCTCAAAGAAAACCATTAGTAACACACTACGCCGTCATGGATTAAAATCCTGCAGCGCACGCAAGGTCCCCCTGCTCAAGCCAGCGCATGTCCAGGCCCGTCTGAAGTTTGCCAATGACCATCTGGATGATCCAGAGGAGGAATGGGAGAAGGTCATGTGGTCTGATGAGACAAAAATAGAGCTTTTTGGTCTAAACTCCACTCGCCGTGTTTGGAGGAAGAAGAAGGATGAGTACAACCCCAAGAACACCATCCCAACCGTGAAGCATGAAGGTGGAAACATCATTCTTTGGGGATGCTTTTCTGCAAAGGGGACAGGACGACTGCACCGTATTGAGGGGAGGATGGATGGGGCCATGTATCGCGAGATTTTGGCCAACAACCTTCTTCCCTCAGTAAGAGCATTGAAGATGGGTCGTGGCTGGGTCTTCCAGCATGACAACGACCCGAAACACACAGCCAGGGCAACTAAGGAGTGGCTCCGTAAGAAGCATCTCAAGGTCCTGGAGTGGCCTAGCCAGTCTCCAGACCTGAACCCAATAGAAAATCTTTGGAGTGAGCTGAAAGTCCGTATTGCCCAGCGACAGCCCCGAAACCTGAAGGATCTGGAGAAGGTCTGTATGGAGGAGTGGGACAAAATCCCTGCTGCAGTGTGTGCAAACCTGGTCAAGACCTACAGGAAACGTATGATCTCTGTAATTGCAAACAAAGGTTTCTGTACCAAATATTAAGTTCTGCTTTTCTGATGTATCAAATACTTATGTCATGCAATAAAATGCAAATTAATTACTTAAAAATCATACAATGTGATTTTCTGGATTTTTGTTTTAGATTCCGTCTCTCACAGTTGAAGGGTACCTATGATAGAAATTACAGACCTCTACATGTTTTGTAAGTAGGAAAACCTGCAAAATCGGCAGTGTATCAAATACTTGTTCTCCCCACTGTACATGTGTTTAGCAGATGTTATTGTGGGTGTAGCGAAATGCTTGTGCTTCTAGCTCCGACAGTGCAGTAATATCTAACAAGTAATATCTAACCATTTCAAAACATATACCCAATACACACAAATCTAAGGCAGGAATGGAATTAAGAATATATACATATATGGACAAGCAATGGCGGTGGGTGTTTTAGTCCCTCTCCTTGAAAAAAAGTGCAGAGCAAACTGCCAGGTTCGTTAGGACGTTTGATTCGGGTCACATAGGGGAATTTCTTTGAGCAGCGAAACACACACACACACACAAAGAGGCCTGGCAGTGCTAACTGGTTTTTGAGTAATCAACTTGGGCTCATCTTCCCATTAGACAAACACAAAAGACAAGCTCTCTATCCCACTGGGACCAGCAACAATACAGACATCAGTTATCCAGGTCTCTCTCTCACACACACGACAGATGGTAGAGTAGTCAGTCAGGGCTCTAAAGTCAGAGAACTTGATCCCAGAACAGTTTCTTTCTAGCAATTGGCGAGCTGACCGGCAGTGGCCGATGCTAAAGAGTAGGCCTAGTTAGCTAGGCTAGTTTAACGGTCAGATCATTTGATACTCAGAGCTACAGTTGAAGAGGCTCATAGGGCAGATCATTTGTTAAAATGGACCATTTGGGGTTTTTACATAGAGATAGATAGAAATACCAGTAGGCACACCATCATCTGGGCACAAAATAAAGCTCTCATGCATGGACATTGGACACTTTTGTTCACCTTAGCTTGTGTGCCGTTTCTTGGTTTGTTCCTTGCACAGCGGGGTTACTTCTAGCTTCAACCCCCACAGATTACTAGATTTCTCCATACCTCCCAGTAAATGTTTTAAGTACCAGAAGGTCCATGATGGATCACATGCAGCCTATGTCCCCCCAAAGCAGTTTAGGCCCCGGCAGCATCCATCCAGCCTCCAGCCCAAATGGCACCCCATTCCCTATATAGTCCACTACACCCACAGGACTCTGGTCAAAAGTAATGCACTATAAAAGGGAATAGGGTGGCATTTGGGACTCAACCCTGAGCCCTAGCCTCCAGCCCAAAGCAGCTTAGGGGTCCACGCCTGGGCGGATTATTCATGTAATGTTGTGGTAGTGATAACCTCCTGGGCCACATATGGACTGGCTAATGATGTGAAACTGAGAACAAGGCCTAGCTGCTTTGGACTGTTAATCCACAGATCAGCTGCTAAAGTAGCTACCAGGAATACAATACGGTACCTGTTTGTGTCGGACAATACTGTACAAAATGGGACAGGAAAACAAACGCATAATGTTTTTTTTTTTTAAACACCCTGAACTTGGCAAACACACACAAGCCACATGCCTAGATGAACCTTGTGGCGTACAGACAATTAAATGAAGACGGATTATTTTGGAATTAGCAGTCTGCCATTACAAACCTTTGGAGGTAATCCAATCCTGTTAATTCAATTCTGGTAAACAAGCCAGGCTCCTCCTCCTCCACAACAGAAGAACCCCGACTAGACAGTAACAGCAGTACAGGGTCGACATTCATTTGAAGAGTGAAATGATCATTTGAATGATGCAAATACTGACTTTGCCAGCAGTAGTAGAAGCCCTGAGTAGTGACTGAACCTCTACATGTGGCATAAACAGAGGACAACAACACATTGTTTCCACTTCTCTGGCTGTGGAAAATGCTGCAGCCTTGGTTTGTCACAGTTTAACAGGGGCACATAACAAGTCACTGTGTGTGTATATATACAAACTACCAGTGAAAAGTTCTAGAACACCTACTCATTCCAGGGTCTTTCATTATTTTTTACATTGTATAATAATAGTGAAGACATCAAAACTATGAAATAACACATATGGAATCATGTAGTAACAAATCAAAATATATTTTTTATTTGAGATCCTTCAAAGTAGCCACCCTTTACCTTGATGACAGGTTTGCACACTCTTGGCATTCTCTCAACCAGCTTCATGAGGTAGTCACCTGGAATGCATTTAAATTAACAGGTGTGCCTTGTTGAAAGTTAATGCTTTTGAGCCAGTTGTGTTGTGACAAGGTAGGGGTGGTATACAGAAGATAGCCCTATTTGGTAAAAGACCATGTCCATATTATGGCAAGAACAGCTCAAATAAGCAAAGAGAAACGACAGTCCATCATTACTTTAACACATGAAGGTCAGTCAATCCAGAAAATGTCAAGAACTTTGAAAGTTTCTTCAAGTGCAGTCGCAAAAACTATCAAGCGCTGTGATGAAACTGGCTCTCATGAGGACCGCCACAGGAATGGAAGATCCAGAGTTACCTCTGCTGCAGAGGATAAGTTAATTAGAGTTACCAGCCTCAGAAATTGCAGCCCAAATAAATGCTTCAGAGTTCAAGTAACAGACACATCTCAACATCAACTGTGGCTGCGTGAATCAGGCCTTCATGGTCGAATTGCTGCAAAGAAACCACTACTAAAGGACACCAATAATAAGAAGAGACTTGCTTGGGCCAAGAAACGGACATTAGACCAGTTGAAATCTGTCCTTTGGTCTGATGAGTCCAAATTTGAGATTTTTGGTTCCAACCACTGTGTCTTTGTGAGAAGCAGAGTAGGTGAACAGATGATCTCCGCATGTGTGGTTCCCACCGTGAAGCATGGAGGAGATGGTGTGATGGTGTGGGGGTGCTTTGCTGGTGACACCGTCTGTGATTTATTTAGAATTCAAGGCACACTTAACCAGCATGGCTCCCACAGCATTCTGCAGCGATACACCATCCCATCTGGTTTGCGCTTAGTTGGACTATCATTTGTTTTTCAACAGGACATTGACCCAACACACCTCCAGGCTGTGTAAGGGCTATTTGACCAAGGAGGAGAGTGATGGAGTGCTGCATCAGATGACCTGGCCTCCACAATCCCCCGACCTCAACCAAATTGAGATGGTTTGGGATGAGTTGGACCGCAGAGTGAAGGAAAAGCAGCCAGCAAGTGCTCAGCATATGTGGGAACTCCTTCAAGACTGTTGGAAAAGCATTCCAGGTGAAGCTGGTTGAGAGAATGCCAAGAATGTGCAAAAAAATGTCATCAAGGCAAAGGGTGGCTACTTTGAAGAATCTCAAATATAAAATATTTTTTGATTTGCTTAACACTGTTTTGGTTACTACATGATTCCATATGTGTTATTTCATAGTTTTGATGTCTTCACTATTATTCTACAATGCAGAAAATAGTCCAAATAAAGAAAAACCCTTGAATGAGTAGGTGTGTCCAAACTTTTGACTGTATTTATTAGGGCCCACCGTAGGAAAATGCTTTAAAAATGGAAAACTAACACGTGCCCTTCTTATTGGACAAGTTTCAGTCCATTTTATTCGGTTTGGTGCCTAGTGAATAGGACCCATGTCTCCTCGGCCGTTGAGAGGCCCAGCGGTGCTGCGCTAGTTCTGGCTCTGAGCTCAAGCCTCCTCCTCCCTCTCTGGGTATTCATGTCAGACGAGGACAGCGCCACTGCTGCTGAGCACACACAATGCCCAGAGTAAATCACGTTGGCTGGCTGCCACTCGCCTAGCGACAAGTGGCCTCTCTCCCTCTGTGCCCCTCTGCCTCTAGAGCAAGGCTCTCTTTCTCTGTCCATGTCGGTCTCCCTCTCAGTCACCACCCATCCTCTCTTCACACTACCCCCTCTTTTCTCTCTCTCCCAGTCACATAGATTCATAGTGATCAGAGGCACTGCTAGTCAGAGCCTATTTAGTAAAGCCCACAAAGCCTAGCATTTCCAAGGCAGATGCAGCGCTCAGATATTTCCATCTAAAGGCTGCTGTAGCCTACTAGCCCAGCTGCATCAAATCTGCATTTTTTTCCTCTGGTTTTTGCGTATCACGGAAACCAGGCCAACTGCCACAGCAGAGACCCACCTCCAACCTAGGGCAGTGTCCCAAATAGTGCCTTATTCCCTACATAGTGCACTAAGGCCCATAAGGCACTATACAGGGAATAGGGTGCCATTTGGGACACAGCCCAGGTCAAATTCACATTTTTGTATGACTAAAGGTTGCAGTCATAGTCCCTCTACTTTTGGAGTGAAAGGTTGAACAGAACAGAACCATAATGACTCATCTGGCTATAGGACCTTTCATCATCCTGAGTGTGAACACAAACACAAAGCCACAGAAGGCGTCACACAGTAGTACATCACGCTGACCCCTGGAGACAATGGTAAACAGATGTCTCCACTCCAACATGTGGGGTGCAGACTAGTGAATATTAGTCGACGTGTGTTCCTCTCCATCTGCAGTGATCAGAATGCATGTCTAGTGTCTACTGGGAATAAGTTTAATCTGAACAGTTGTTTCATGACAGACAGCAGAATCTGCAGATACAGCAGCAGATGAAGAAAGGAAGGGACCTTAGAGTAAAATACTGACATGTGCACGCGTCTAAGGCTGACTAAGACCCTTTATGATCAGAGCATAGCAATTCAAGTTACGGGACCTTCCAAACAGAGGACATTTGGCTGAATCTGAAATAGCACTCTATTCCCTATATTGTGCACTACTTTAGACCAGAGCCCTATGCAGTCCCCAGTCAAAAGTACTGCTTTAGCTATATAGGAAAGAGGGTGCAATTTTAGATGCTTACTTTCTCCCTCTCCTATCCCCATGGTACCTACCAGCTGTCCTCTCCCTCTCCTATCCCCATGGTACCTACCAGCTGTCCTCTCCCTCTCCTATCCCCATGGGACCGGGAGACCCATGGGGCGGCGCGCACAATTGGCCCAGCGTCGTCCAGGGTAGGGGAGGGATTTGGCCGGCAGGGGATGTAGCTCAGTTGGTAGAGCATGGCGTTTGCAACGCCAGGGTTGTGGGTTCGATAAAATAATGTATGCACTAACTGTAAGTCGCTCTGGATAAGAGCGTCTGCTAAATGACTAAAATGTAAATGTACCTACCAGCTGTCCTCTCCCTCTCCTATCCCCATGGTACCTACCAGCTGTCCTCTCCCTCTCCTATCCCCATGGTACCTACCAGCTGTCCTCTCCCTCTCCTATCCCCATGGTACCTACCAGCTGTCCTCTCCCTCTCCTATCCCCATGGTAACTACCAGCTGTCCTCTCCCTCTCCTATCCCCATGGTACCTACCAGCGGTCCTCTCCCTCTCCTATCCCCATGGTACCTACCAGCTGTCCTCACCATCCACCTCTGCAAGGTCCTCCTCTAGGTCCAGAACATCCACCTCATCCAGAGCCAACTGGTCCACCCCCGAGTCGCTCTCCGCCAGGGTCTCAGACTCATAGCTGTCCAGAGAGGGACTCTCTGGGGTTGGGCTTAGCCCCTGGGTCTGCGCCGGTCCTGGTCCATTCCCGCAAGGCAGGTTCAGAAAGCCTGCACACAGTCCACCATCCTCCTCTTCCTCTATCCGGTTATTTACAGGGAGCGGGGACATATCCTCACTGCTACTACGGTCCTGAGGAGGGGACAGCTCCAAGTCACTGCTACTGCCTAGATCCCTTCCACAACTTCCACTGCTCCCCAACTTGAGAGGGGAGTTGGTGTTGGTCACCCCTTGGCTGGAAGAGATTCTCTCATTGATGTTGGTACCAGTTGTGAGGTTACTGTTGTTTGTGGTGGTCGCTCCTCCGAGATGTAGATTCTTACTGCCTCCCCTGTTGCGGAGTGTTTGATTCTGGACCTCAAGTCTTCGAATGAGCTCCTGGAGCTTACGTACCTCCTCCAGCTCCTCCCCTGCAAGCTCCTGCTCCTCCTCGTAGCTCGGCTGGGACGTCGTCATGAGACTCCCGGTACCGTCATTGCTTGCCGGTTGGACCTCACCGGCGCTGTCCGGAACTACCATGTTGCTCCCGTTCTGCTAGGGGAAGATAATCGAATGTTTCGATCAGCAGCTCGCGCAAGGAACAGCAAACCATGCAGATCTTAGGTACAGACACTCAGAGAGGTACAGATCATGGTTGAAAACATTTTTGTCACAATTACAACCTTATGACAGCGTTGCGTAAAATAGCTCATTATTAGCTGGACTACGATTTTGAGACAAGCAGTTGAGCTAGGAATCAATCATCCGAACAAACACCCAAACTGCTAGCTAATCGTGGGGGGATAGCTAATCAATTTGATCATAGCTAGCTACTTCGCTACGTTTACATGCCAATAAAAGCAATATAGAAGGTAGTGAATATAATTTCTGGTTAGATCAACTAATTAGCAAGCTCCCATGTTTATCATTAATAACACTGCCATGATGAATAAAGAAATGTCCAAAATAACGGTCGAAGCCTCGAAGGCTGACAAATTGTAGGCTAGCAACAGCCGGAACAAACCGCATCTTCGTCCAGTTTCATTGAATGCCGCCAACATTTGCAGCTAAAGATAAGTGCAGCTTCTAATTCGATCAAATGAACGTTGAAACACACATCCATTTATATAATTTATCATGTAAGCCAATAGATCATGTTTGTTATCGATGCATTTCCAAGAGCTGTTGATTAGCCAGCCACCAAGCTAAAGCACTAGCTAAACATAACAAACCTACCTGCACCGGTTGAGATGAGCCGTGTTGATATCAAGAGATGCTCGAATTAGCCTGCTAAATCAAACGCACGAGTTTGCATGAATCAAGTACGTTTACAAGGGATACAACATTTTAAAAAGTAAATGAGATGTATGTAATAAAAATATAGCTTATTGATTCTCGATGTAACGGGTCGAACCACGCCAAGCCATGTCCCCGTTAGCCTGTAACTGGCTAGTTAGCAAAGCTAGCTAACTAGCAGCTATGTTTTGCCAGCTTTTGAGGGACTCGAGTTGACCCAATCAGAGCATTGGCCCCGCCCCCTACTAGACATTACCACGATATTTGATTCCACCTGCAGGATACTTCAGGTATTGCCTGCCGTTCTCGTCCCATGCGCTAGAGGTCACAAAATACAAGGGGAAAGCAAAAATACATAAGTAACACTATGTCACACCTGGGGTGCGTTCAGTTCGCTTCAACGTTTGCTACGTTGTAATGAAACGACACGTTTCCCCAAAACGATGAGCACCGTTCTTCAACCGTATTTGAGGTACGTTTGCTCCCGTTTGGTGGGTGTTTCGAGGTGTGGCCTGATCAATATGGGCGTGACCAGAGCCATGTATTTAGAATAAATAAAAAAAACATTGCTCTGGGTGTGACTATCTGAAATTGCAAAACACTTGCAGCACACTGTACAGGAATCACCTTCTGGGCCACCATTATCACAGCGTTTTTCAATCGGTACAGTACCGTTTCCGTTCTGGCGTACTAAATGCAACCCTGTCATCAGTACTCTTTGGCCACAAAATTGTCACTCAACATGAGAGTAAATTAGATGTATTGTTATGTTTGGTGTTGTACTAGGCATGTAATCTACCACAATACTTATAATTATTCAAATGACCTGTCTTCAACATAACAAACTCTTTATCTGTGCCAAGGTAGCCACACCGCACGGACCATCGTTGCTCAAGTTCTGCAGAACAGTTATTCTCACGGCAATAAACATGCTTCACTTATTGAATTGTACCGGTAGATATAAGAGCTATGAGTCAGTAGTAGCCTACGACCAGAAACAAGCTCAGGGCAAGGACTAGACCTGATGTTGACCTAGTGGAAGAATACTGGGTTGGGTTCCCAAAGTGAAGGCAGAGAGAGAGGGTGAAACCTGTGAGCGTGTCAGTTTGATTCGGGAACATGTACTAACAAGAAGGCTTATGCACATGTTACTGTATGTGTACACCACCCTATTCTTCACTATATGAGCTGGCAAGCGGTACAAGAGGCTTCTATACAGCTTCTACCCCCAAGCCATAAGACTCCTGACCATCTAATCAAATAGCTACCCAGACTATTTGCATTGCCCCTCCCCCCTCTTTTACGCTGCTGCTACTCTCTGTTTATTATCACTTTAATAACTCTACCTACATGTACCTATTACCTCAATTACCTTGACTAACCGCTGCCCCCGCACATTGACTCGGTACCGGTATCCCCTGTATATAGCCTCGCTATTGTTATTTTTACTGCTGCTCTTTAATTATTTGTTACATTTATTTCTTATTATTTTATATATATATATATATTCTATTCTTTCTTAAAACTGCATTGTTGGTTAAGGGCTTGTAAGTAAGCATTTCACTGTAAGGTCTACACCTGTTGTATTCAGCGCATGTGACAAATAAAATTTGATTTGATTTGATTTTGTTATGGTCTGGATTCAAAGTAAAGATGAGAGGGGGGACTTTTGAACAGCTGTTCAAAAGTAAAGAAAAATATATTATTGTGGCTAGATAACCACAATGAATATGGGATCATGAAATACAGAAGTATCTAATTTACATAAGTATTCACACCCCTGAGTAAATACATGTTAGAATCACCTTTGGCAACGATTACAGCTGTGAGTGTTTCTGGGCAAGTCTCTAAGAGCTTTGCACACCTGGATTGTACACTATTTGCAAATTATTCTTTAAAAAATTATTCAAGCTCTGTCAAGCTCTGTCTCCCAGGGTCTATTGGAAAGCAGACTGAACCAGGTTTTTCTCTAAGATTTTGCCTGAGCTTAACTCTATTCCGTTTCTTTTTATCCTAAACAACTCCCTAGTCCTTGCCGATGACAAGCATACCCATAACATGATGCAGCCACCACCATGCTTGAAAATATGAAGAGTGGTTCTCAGTGATGTGTTGTGTTGGATTTGCCCCAAACATAATGCTTTGTATTCAGGACACTAAGTTAATTTCTTTGCCACATTTTTTGCAGTTTAACTTTAGTGCCTTATTGCATGATTTGGAATATTTTTATTCTGTACAGGCTTCCTTCTTTTCACTCTTTCAATTAAGTTAGTATTGTGGAGTAACTACAACTTTCCAGTTACTCATCAGTTTTCTCCTGTCACAGCCATTAAACTCTGTAACTGTTTTAAAGTCACTATTGGCCTCATGGTGAAATCCCTGAGCGGTTTCCTTCCTCTCCGGCAACCGTTAGAAAGGACGTCTGTATCTTTGTAATGACTGGGTGTATTGATACACCATCCTAAGTGTAATTAATAACTTCACCATGCTCAAAGGGGTATTCAATGTCTGCTTTTTTTTAAAACCCATTTACCAATAGGTGCCCTTCTTTGCGAGGCATTGGAAAACCTCCCTGGTCTTTGTAGTTGAACACTGCTCGACTGAGGGACTTTACAGATAATTGTATGTGGGGTACAGAGATGAGGTAGTCATTCAAAAATCTTGTTAAACACTATTATTGCACACAGAGTGAGTCCATGCAACTTATTATCTGACTCGTTAAGCAAATTATTACTCCTGAAATTATTTAGGCTTGTCATAAAAAAGGGGTTGAATACTTATTGACTCAAGACATTTCAGCTTTTCATTTTTTATTAATTTGTACAAATGTAATTCCACTTTGACATTATGGGGTATTGTGTGTAGGCCAGTGACACATCTCAATTTAATCTATTTTAAATTCAGGCTGTAACACAACAAAATGTGGAAAAGGTCAAGGGGTGTGAATACTTTTTGAAGGCACGTTCACGATAGAACACACATCCCTGAGGGCAACACCACTGTGTGTCTGGGAGATCTGGCAAGTGGAGGCATGATCCAAGATCAATTGTGGAGGTTTTAAAAAATGCATCCTTCTTGGCACGCAGTTGTTTTAAATCTCCTCTGCTAAATTCATAGACGTGATTCCTCTCTTTCTCAACTACAAGAACAGGCAGACCTGTTAGTAACACAATCTTGACTTCCCTTTTTTTTTTGCAGTGCCATAAATTGTCAAAAGTGTTGTGTAATTGTGCAGAAGAAGACCCCAGAAAATTCAACTGAGCTAATGTACTAATACAGGACTCATAACTCATACAGGACTGATTGTACATTCGTCTTGAATATCTGTGCTCTCCAACATGATATTGTTTTATGAAGCTAAACCACACCTTTCTGTTGGCATGCTGGGGCCTGCTGCAGAGGTAGAGGGAGGAGAGGAGTACGGTTCTGTCCCAAATGGCACCCTATTCCTTTTGTAGTGCACTACTTTTGATCAGGGCTCATAGTGCTCTGGTCAAAAGTAGTGCACAATATAGGGAATAGTGTGCCATTTGGGACGGAGACTGGCACTTACCTGGCTGGCTATCGTAAAACCATCAAAGTGAAACACAACACAAGCAATACAGAACGTGTGGGGAGAAACCTTGGTAGTGCCTGCATTTCAATATCCAAGGAAACGCCCAACTAAATGTAGTACAGTTCTGATTTGTACAACAGGCCTGTGTTGTGCTACAGTGCTGTTCCTATGGAAACATCTCCTGGTAACATGTGTTGCATCATTGTAATAGTTTGATCATAATGAAGGGTGTTTCACGTTTGACTCCTCAGATTTGCTTGAGTTTGGAGTTGGAGTTAGAGGTATCAGTTGGCATCAACAGCTGATTAGCTTCGTGTTGTGCAACACCAGCACCTTGCAGTAGCATTCACAGCTATGTTACACTTGGTTGAGACTCTGAGAAGAAACAGTATTGCAATACCTGTGTAGCACACAATGAAATGTAAATATTTTCATTTTAGGACTGACAAGAGCACTGTATCAGAGGAGAACTACTGCCCCCTCATTGAAGCCACGGAGTGTTCAAGGCCGACCGTGGTACTGCAGGCATTGTTTGCAGAACACAGGATCCCCCATTATAGTGAACGGAAAAATGTCAATCTTCGTGGTCAATCTTTGTGTAAATAAAATAATGTTTCGAAGACAATCATGGTACAAATAATTGCTTCTAATACACCAGATGTATGTCCTTGAACTGATTAAATAAAAATCGCACACAGAAGAAGCTATTAGGATAATTTTGTTGCTAATGGCGGTCTGCAGTACCCCGGTCGGCCTTCAACTTGAGTTACTCAATAAGAGGGGGCAGCACTGAGCTGGCCTGCAACGTCACTTCCTGGAGTAGCTCAAACTGCGCATCTTATGTCTCCATGAGACGCCATCTTAACCGACTTCATTTGGCTTCAATGTGCTATTGATTCTTCACATAGGAATGAATGGTGTCACGTGATCAATGGCTTTGTCCATTCATATATACAGTCATTGGTTGGTATGTGCCTCAGATTACACTTCAACCTGTCCTGATTTAGCCCTGCCAGTAAATACAATTAGCTAATAATCACTCATACATACACTACCATCAGTAGGAATTTAAAGAATGTTATGATTAATTGGGACTGTCTCTTACATATATACAGTACCAGTCAAAAGTTTGGACACACCTACTCATTCAATGGTTTTTCTTTATTTTTACTATTTTCTACATTGTAGAATAATAGTGAAGACATCAAAACTATGAAATAACACATATGGAATCATGTAGTAACCAAAAAAGTGTTAAACAAATCAAAATATATTTTATATTTGAGATTCTTCAAATAGTCACCCTTTGCACAGGAAAATAACCTCTCACTCAACATCAACAAAACAAAGGAGATGATCGTGGACTTCAGGAAACAGCAGAGGGTGCATCCCCCTATCCACATCGACGGGACCGCAGTGGAGAAGGTGGAAAGCTTCAAGTTCCTTGGCGTACACATCACCGACAAACTGAAATGGTCCACCCACGCAGACAGTGTGGTGAAGAAGGCGCAACAGAGCCTCTTCAACCTCAGGAGGCTGAAGAAATGTGGCTTAGTACCTAAAACACTCACAAACTTTTACAGATGCACAATTGAGAGCATCCTGTCGGGCTGTATCACAGCCTGGTACGGCAACTGCACCACCCACAACCGCAGGGCTCTCCAGAGGGTGGTGCGGTCTGCCGAACGCATTACCGGGGGCAAACTACCCGCCCTCCAAGACACATACAGCACCCGATTCTATTATATTCTACTGTATCTTAGTCCATGCCACTCTGTCATTGCTTGTCCATAAATGTATATATTCTTAAATCCCATTCCTTACTAGCTTTGTGTGTTTTGGGTATATGTTGTGAAATTGTTAGATATTACTTGTTAGATATTACTGCACTGTCGGAGCTAGAAGCACAAGCATTTCGCTACATCCGCTATAACATCTGCTAAACACGTGTATGTGACAAATACAATTTGATTTGATTTGAACACTCTTGACATTCTCTCAACCAGCTTCACCTGGAATGCTTTTCCAACAGTTTTGAAGGAGTTCCCACATATGCTGAGCACTTGTTGGCTGCTTTCTCTTCACTCTGCGGTCCAACTCATCCCAAACCATCTCAATTGGGTTGAGGTCGGGGGATTGTGGAGGCCAGGTCATCTGATGCAGCACTCCATCACTCTCCTTCTTGGTAAAATAGCCCTTACACAGCCTGGAGGTGTGTTGGGTCATTGTCCTGTTGAAAAACAAATGATAGTCCCACTATGCCCAAACCAGATGGGATGGCATATCGCTGCAGAATGCTGTGGTAGTCATGCTGGTTAAGTGTGCCTTGAATTCTAAATAAATCACAGACAGTGTCACCAGCAAAGCACCCCCACACCATAACACCACCTCCTCCATGCTTTACGGTGGGAAATACACATGCGGAGATCATCCATTCAACCACACCGCGTCTCACAAAGACACGGCGGTTGGAACCAAAGATCTCCAATTTGGACTCCAGACCAAAGGACAGATTTCAACCGGTCTAATGTCCATTGCTTGTGTTTCTTGGCCCAAGCAAGTCTCTTCTTATTATTGGTGTCCTTTAGTAGTGCTTTCTTTGCAGCAATTCGACCATGAAGGCCTGATTCACAGTCTCTCTGAACAGTTGATGTTGAGATGTGTCTGTTACTTGAACTCTGTGAAGCATTTATTTGGGCTACAATTTCTGAGGCTGGTAACTCTAATGAACTTATCCTCTGCAGCAGAGGTAACTCTGGGTCTTCCATTCCTGTGGCGGTCCTCATGAGAGCCAGTTTCATCATAGCGCTTGATGGTTTTTGCAACTGCACTTGAAGAAATGTTCTCTGTATTGACTGTCTTAAAATAATGATGGACTGTCGTTTTCTTTGCTTATTTGAGCTGTTCTTGTCATAATATGGACTTGGTCTTTTACCAAATAGGGCTATCTTCTGTATACCCCCCCTACCTTGTCACAACACAACTGATTGGCTCAAACACATTAACAAGGAAAGAAATTCCACAACTTAACTTTTAAGAAGGCACACCTGTTAATTGAAATGCATTCCAGGTGACTACATCATGAAGCTGGTTGAGAGAATGCCAAGAGCGTGCAAAGCTGTCATCAAGGCAAAGGGTGGCTTTTTGAAGAATCTCAAATATAAAATATATTTGGATTTGTTTAACACTTTTTGGGTTACTACATGATGTGTTATTTAATAATTTTGATGTCTTCACTATTATTCTACAAGGTAGAAAATAGTAAAAATAAAGAAAAACCCTTGAATGAGTAGGTGTTCTAAAACGTTTGACCGGTAGTGTACGTATTTTAATGAATCTTCTTAATAGGATTGCATACTCAATATAATGACAAAAACATCACAAGATTACACTTATCTTATTGCTTAAGTAAAAACAATTAAGACAAGACTAAAATGCAGTTTTACAACACTCATTTTATTAAAACAAAAATATCTTCTCTCATGTTATTGTTACATAATTTATCCAGAATGGCACCGTGTACAGGCAGAACATTGGGCATAGTTGACAGTGGAACTAACTGTTGATGGTGACAGTATTATATGTCATTGACACAAACACAACGTGCTCCTTCTGTTCAACAAACACCCTGTCTCATCCATATTTATCTGACTTCACCCCTTTCCAACCAAGACTGCATGAAAAAGCACAACTCAAAACATTGACGGTTAAAATCGTACTGGCCTTCCCTTTACTAATCATGCACCCCTAACCCCCACAGCATCAGAGTCAACGCCATTGTGATTAACTAACATGGTGAAACGTAAAGAAGCAGAAGCAGAGAGATGATAGACATATTTCTTAAGTGGAGGAGAAGAGAGAGGAATGACTGGAGGAGAGGAACCGTGGCGTTTCATTTGGAGCCCTCTTCAGCTTTCTTTTCCTGCTCGATATCTGCGAGAGAAAGAGAGAGAAGTTAGTGATTAGTCTATGTCTTGAACACTGTTGTGATGGAGTAATCAAACTATCCTATATTTGTTAATCACCAAATCTAATCCAAAACACTCAAAATAGGATACCACAACCCATCCAAAATGGAAGATACTGTAAAATGGCAGTACATCATCATACTGAATGTTAAAATCCTGAGCTGTCACTGGGCAATAGAAGACAGGATGAATCCACTCTCAGAAGGAGGAGGGCTGGCTGAGAGGCAGCTTGTGAGACAGATGGTTCCTCTCCTGTCATTGGCTCGTTATCAGTCTGGCTGGCTCAACCTGTCATTGGCTAGTTATCAGCCTGGCTGGCTCAACCTCCTGTCATTGGCTAGTTATCAACCTGGCTGGCTCAACCTCCTGTCATTGGCTCGTTATCAGCCTGGCTGGCACAACCTCCTGTCATTGGTCAAGTGTCTTTTATCCTGCTATCAATAACTCTCTCCTCAGGTTTCTACTGTAAATCTTCAAGAGGTGTGTGACGCTGTGTGAGGTTTGAGTGAAGCTATATGATATATCTGCTGGTAATACTGCACTGTACAGCCCTGTCTGGTATTTGTCAGGTATTTATGGGGATATTGTGCATTAAGAAATAAAATGGAAGACTACACAATAGAAAATGGTAACAGAGTAATTGTCATGTCATTTTAATATTATTAGCATGTAATACTGACGTAAATACCTGGTAAATAGAGAACTGAAAATAGAAAGCCTAACCAACCTACTTCAAATCGGGGGGTCTACATTTCTTTACTAGAGGTTCCTCCCTGCATTGCAGTGTTCTCTGTCCTGGGGTGGGGGTTATTGCAGCTGATGTTTCCAGAGAAGTGAACCTGCATGATGCTTACTACTGCACCCCCAATCACACCTCTACCCACACTGCTACTTACAATGAGCAATTTTAAATATACACCCAAATCATACCTTTAACCACACAGCTACTTACAAACAATTGATATACTTTTCCACACTATGAGGTTGGGATAATACTGTGAAAATTATGATAATGCCATTTTAGTGTAAGAGCTGTTTGAAAAGAACATCTGAAATGTCAGCCTGTTTTGGTGGGATGGAGTTTTGACCTTCCGCGGTGACATCACCATGTGGTAAATGAGTTAATAGACCAATATGAAAAGAGAGTTCCAAACCTCTCTGCCAATAACAGCTAATTGTCTGTTTTCCACTCCCCACTCAGACCACTCCCAGACAGTCCTAGAAAAAGTATTGGTTGAGAAATTGCTCTTAGCTAAGAAGCTATTTTTGACAATTTTAATAGAATTCAATCACAGTAAGGTATTTAACTGTTACCCAGAAATGATTTTTATATTGAGATAAAAACGGCTGCGTTGGACCTTTAATATCCACCCAAATCATCTCCCTCCCACTGACTTCAATGCATGATTGATGAAGTTTGAGAAGTGGGCATGCGGTATCTCAGGTTAGGATTGGGTCAGCATAGATAGAGCCTGCATCCCAAATGGCACCATATTCCCTATAAAGTGCTTTACTTTTGACCAGAGCCGGGCAGTATGTAGGGGTAAGGGTGCCATTTGGGACGCAACCAGAGAAAGGAGGAATCAGGGAGTATGTAAGACAGGGATAAGGATCAGTTCATGTTGATAAGGCTGCTGACATGGTGAGAGCTCAACTCCCCTCTTCCTGCTCCTCTCTCACATCACTCCCTCTGAACTACGGCTTCAGTCTATCCTGTCTGAACTAAGGCTTCAGTCTATCCTGTCTGAACTAAGGCTTCAGTCTAGTCCACCCTGTCTGAACTAAGGCTTCAGTCTATCATGTCTGAACTAAGGCTTCAGTCTAGTCCACCCTGTCTGAACTAAGGCTTCAGTCAAGTCCACCCTGTCTGAACTAAGGCTTCAGTCTATCCTGTCTGAACTAAGGCTTCAGTCTAGTCCACCCTGTCTGAACTAAGGCTTTAGTCAAGTCCACCCTGTCTGAACTAAGGCTTCAGTCTATCCTGTCTGAACTAAGGCTTCAGTCTAGTCCACCCTGTCTGAACTAAGGCTTCAGTCTATCCTGTCTGAACTAAGGCTTCAGTCTATCCTGTCTGAACTAAGGCTTCAGTCTAGTCCACCCTGTCTGAACTAAGGCTTCAGTCTAGTCCACCCTGTCTGAACTAAGGCTTCAATCTAGTCCACCCTGTCTGAACTAAGGCTTCAGTCTATCCTGTCTGAACTAAGGCTTAAGTCTATCCTGTCTGAACTAAGGCTTCAGTCTAGTCCACCCTGTCTGAACTAAGGCTTCAGTTTATCATGTCTGAACTAAGGCTTCAGTCTAGTCCACCCTGTCTGAACTAAGGCTTCAGTCTAGTCCACCCTGTCTGAACTAAGGCTTCAGTCTAGTCCACCCTGTCTGAACTAAGGCTTCAGTCTAGTCCACCCTGTCTGAACTAAGGCTTCAGTCTAGTCCACCCTGTCTGAACTAAGGCCTCTCTAGATCTTCACTAAACCCCTGGCTTGTACACTCCCTGTCTGCACTAAAAAGCTGCCTCTAGACACCCTCTTTGACTGCACTAAACCCTCTTTAGTCCACACCCTTTCTGCACCAAAAGGATGCCTTTCCTCCCCTAACTGCACTAAGACTGCCTCTCCACTGCGGCTGGACTGCAAGCTCAATGCACAGGGCCAGAAAGACCAGTTTTATATGACTACTCAGCATAATGTTTTCAATACCACAGTAATAGCTGATGGCCGCCAGGCCACGGAGCCACTAAAAGAGCAGCACGGTTCTGCAAAGCAGCTGGATAGCAGTCAGACAAGTGTGTACTTGATAACTGGAATGCATTGGGCGTAACTGTACAGATGTGACCTACGGTAACTGTTCTTCTCAACAGTGTTGTACTGTTCCTGGATGCACATGTGAAGATTTACCCTCTACTTTACATACAGTCAAATGAAGAGAAACACTACAGTAGACTGTTCTTCTCAACAGTGTTGTACTGTTCCTGGATGCACATGTGAAGATTTAACCTCTACTTTACATACAGTTAAATGAAGAGAAACACTACAGTAGAAGGGCACTAACACACTGCTAACACTACAGTAGAAGGGCACTAACACACTACTAACACTACAGCAGAAGGGCACTAACACACTACTAACACTACAGTAGAAGGGCACTAACACACTGCTAACACTACAGTAGAAGGGCACTAACACACTGCTAACACTACACTAGAAGGGCACTAACACACTGCTAACACTACACTAGAAGGGCACTAACACACTGCTAACACTACAGTAGAAGGGCACTAACACACTACTAACACTACAGCAGAAGGGCACTAACACACTGCTAACACTACAGTAGAAGGGCACTAACACACTGCTAACACTACAGTAGAAGGGCACTAACACACTACTAACACTACAGTAGAAGGGCACTAACACACTGCTAACACTACAGTAGAAGGGCACTAACACACTGCTAACACTACAGTAGAAGGGCACACCTTTGTGTATTTTATGACTTTTTCCTCCTGACCAGCCAAAGAACAAGAACAAAGAGCTCTTACTGTTGCAATAGAGTGGGAGGCACTTAGCTACTGCAAACAGAGAGGGAGACAGGTACGGGGTGGGGCAGGAATAGGAGTAGGAGCAATAAGGGTAGGAGATAGGTTAGGAGACAGGAAAGAAGGAGACAGAACATGAGAAACGTACCCTCCTTGGTTGGCAGAGTGTTCTTCTCAGCTGTACTGGTCTTCTTTAGACACTTCTTGTCAAAGGTCTCCACTCCCTGCTTCACTGGGTTGTTGTCGCCCATCTTAGATGATGTCTGAGGGAGAAAGAGTCAGAATGTAAATGTCGAGAGAGAGAGAGAGAGAAAGAGAGGGAGAGAGAAAGAGAGAGAGAGAGAGAGAGAGAGAGAGAGAGTCCTTAGACAAATATGTAATCTAGAATACAGGTGAGTGCATGCAGGTGAAGTCCAGCCACACCCACCTTACCTCACACACACACCACACCTGTATAATCCATATAGACTACTCTAGCTAGTTCTGTAATTCAGTTACTTGAATCAACACACACTCCCACGACTTTACCATTCACCATCTAACACACTCCCAAGACTTTACCATTCACCATCTAACACACTCCCAAGACTTTACCATCTAACACACTCCCACGACTTTACCATTCACCATCTAACACACTCCCAAGACTTTACCATTCACCATCTAACACACTCCCAAGACTTTACCATTCACCATCTAACACACTCCCACGACTTTACCATTCACCATCTAACACACTCCCAAGACTTTACCATTCACCATCTAACACACTCCCACGACTTTACCATTCACCATCTAACACACTCCCACGACTTTACCATTCACCATCTAACACACTCCCAAGACTTTACCATTCACCATCTAACACACTCCCAAGACTTTACCATCTAACACACTCCCACGACTTTACCATTCACCATCTAACACACTCCCAAGACTTTACCATTCACCATCTAACACACTCCCACGACTTTACCATTCACCATCTAACACACTCCCACGACTTTACCATTCAACATCTAACAAAGGAGAACAAATAGCCAGGTGAGAGAGAGAGCTATTCTTATGGTGTTATGTTTCACTGAGAGTTTCCCAAGCACTCAGGTCTGCTGCAATGCACTGGTTCTAGTATACAGGAACGCATACTGGTACTTTCTGGTTCAGAGAGAGGCTGCACAAAATGGCATTCTCAAAATCTATGAAAGGATGCAATGAATGAACCTACATGCATTAGGATGTTAAGGTGCTACTTACTAGTCTATTAGATCTGTGTAGACCTCGAGCCTACTCATTCAAACACAAATACAATTCTTGCTAAATGACGTAAATGTAAATGTTAACATACTATTTGAAAGTGTACATTGCAGTGTGATTTCACATGCAAGGGCCAATGGTGTATCATATACCACCTCCTGGTGCTTTCTTTGAACAAATACTGAGTTTATACTTCCACAAACTAAGAACTCACAAACAGTTTCATGATCTGCTTGCAGGCAGACCTTATATAGGTGCCCGTGTGTGCAAAAACTGGGTCTGACGGGTTAGATTTTTTTTTTTAGCAGACCAATTTATCCAAGACGCACGGAGTAATTGATAGGTGTCAACGCCATCTGCAGTAAAATATGCTAATTTGACGGATCGGTCATGTTAAGGCATGTTGAGCTCACCGGTAGAACATGTTTTTATCATAAAACCGCACCCCGATGAACCGCCAAACTATAGGCAGACTATAGGCTAGAAGCATGGCATTGCGCCGTCAGCATCACGTGCATTGATTGGGCTTTAGGTAACAGTGCGACAACTGAAAACATTAAAATGTATTCGGCATGACATCACACCAAGGCCTGTAACTATGATATATAGCCATGATGATGACAATTAGCCTAACCTAAGCATACAATAATGAAACACAGACACGTTTAATAGCCTAGTTGACAACGGAATGCTGTGTAGTGGGTGCAGGTGGGTTAAATGCATGCATTGCAGAGCTGTCAACACAGCAACAAAATACATCCTTAAATAGCCTAACACTAAATCATATAGCCTAATAATAACAAATAGTCTATAGCCTACTCTTTACTGACAATCAAATATAACCCGCTGACAGTCCCTTCCTTCTGTCTGAAAAAAAAACATTTTAAAAACGTCTGATTTTTTTTTTTTACAATTGCATAATAACACCACCGCCCATCAGAATAACGTTATTCGGCTATCATGGCATCCATTAACTAACGAACACATAGAGGGATATAACAAGTATACTAATAATTTGTATACTAAAGCTATCAATATTTACCTGGTGCGGGGATGTGCGGTGAGAATGTCCGTTACAGGTACTACGTCTGGTTGTGATCTGTATCGGATAACCGGTTTAAATAGGGAAAGCACGCCCTTTCTCACACCAACATGAACACCAATCTGAGCTCAGGCATTGGCCCAATCCATCCAGAAGTAGGATATCATTGGCCAGGCTAAATCCATGAGTTGAGATGTTCAGGGGGGACAATATTGTGCAGCGTTCGTTTGATAAATCAGACAGTGATACCACAGCATCACCTTGTGGATATATACAGCATAGCCTATAGGGCAATGCAAGAAGCATCTTCATCACAGGAGGTTTGTGGCACCTTAATTGGGGAGAACGTGCTCGTGGTAATGACTGCAGCGGAATTGGTGGAATGGTATCAAATACATCAAACTCATAGTTTCCAGGTGTTTGATGCGATTCCATTTGCTCCGTTCCTGCCATTATTATGAGTCGTCCTCCCCTCAGCATGAAGTTCAGTATAAAATGCATACACATATTCAGAATAACTTGCAAGGTGAAACTCAATTGTGGTTTGATAAAACATGTATTAATGCTCAGGCATATTTACTGAACAAAAATATAAAAGCAACATGTGTTGGTCCCATGTTTCATGAGCTGAAATAAAAGATCCCAGAAATGTTCCATACGCACAAAAAGCTTATTATCCTAGAGTCGACACGGAGCCCTGCCGATCCATCACGACTGGTCTGCCGACGTAATCGTCTGTGGTTTCAACAGGCTTCCCGTTGCGACGACCACGAAGATCCATCTGCTAGCCCCGGCCCGCTAGCACACGCAAACTACAACTGTGCTCCCTGCTAGCTGTGCTGAAGCACCAATTTGAACTGCTCTCGGACTCACATATTGCTGTTCACTGGACCTTATGATCACTCAGCTGCACAGCTGATGCCTGCTGGACTGTTCCTTTACACGGTACCCTGTCCTGTTTATTCTGTTTAGCCTCAGCCCAAACTTTATCGCCATTACCAGTTGTTGTCTTAGCTCTCTCTAATAACACCTGTGATTGCTTTATGCCTCTCTCCCATGTCAATATGCCTTGCCTATTGCTGTTCCAGTTAGTTCTTATTATACAATTTCACTGTAGAACCCCAAGTCCCTCTCAAACTGCCTCAAATAGTTCCTTTGTTCCATCCCCCATACACGCCGAGACCGGCTCAATCGGTGCCTCCAGTGATGCTATCTCTTTCATTATTACCCAACGCTTAGGTTTACCTCCACTGTACTCATATCCTTCCATATCCTTGTCTGTACATAATGCCCTGAATCTTTTCTACAACGCCTGGAAATCTGCCCCGTTTATTCTCTGTACCCCAACGCACTAGAAGACCAGTTCTTAAAGCCTTTAGCCGTATCCTTATTCTAGTCCTCCTCTGTTCCTCTGGTGATGTAGAGGCTAACCCAGGCCCTGCAGCCCCCAGTATCACTCCTACTCCCCAGGAGCTATCATGTAATGACTTCGGTAACCGTAAAAGCCTTGGTTTTCTGCACCACATTAACATCAGAAGCCTCCTTCCTAAGTTTGAGTTATTCACTGCGTTAGCACACTCCGCCAACCCTGCATTTTCTAGCAGTGTGAAGAAGCCTCCTTCCTAATTTTGAGTTGATTCACTTGGTCTCAGCATCACTTCCGCAAACTGATTACTTCTAAGCAGTTGCCATTGCTAAAGACCCCCAGCTGTAGCCTGGACACCACTATGTGAATTGATTGCACACCCCCCACTTTATCCTCAGAGTTTGTACTGCTTGGTGACCTCAATGGGATATGCTTAACACCCCGCCATCCGACAATCCAACTAGATTACCACTCAATCTCCACACAATTATCAACGAACCTACCAGTACAACCCTAAATCCGTAAACAGGGTACCCTCATAGATTCATCCTGACTAACTTACCCCTAAATACACTCGCTGTCTCAACCAGGATCTCAGCGATCACTGCCTTATTGCCTGCGTCCGTAACGGTCGGGTCAAACGACCACCCCTCATCACCTGTCAAACGCTCCCTAAAATACTTTAGCGAGCAGGACTTCCCAACTGACCTGGCCCAGGTATCCTGGATGGATATAGATCTAATTCTGTCAGTAGGGGATGCCTGGTTGTTCTTAAAAATATTCCTCTCAATCTTAAATAACATGCCCCATTCAAAAATACAGACTAAGAACAGATATAGCCCCTGGTTCTCCTCAGACTTGACTGCCCTTGACCAGCACAAAAACATCATGTGGCGTACTGCATTAGCATCAAATAGCCCCCGCGATATGCAACTTTTCAGGGAAGTTAAGAACCAATATACACAAGCAGTTAGGAAAGCAAAGGCTAACTTTTTCAAACAGAAATTTGCATCCTGTAGCACTAACTTCAAACAGTTTTGGGACACTGTAAAGTCCATGGAGAATAAGAGCACCTCCTCCCAGCTGCCCACTGCACTGAGGCTAGGAAACACTATCACCACCGATAAATCTACAATAATCGAGAATTTCAACAAGTATTTTGCTTGCTACGGCTGGCCATGCTTTCCACCTGGCTACCACTACCCCGGACACCAGCTCTGCACCCTCCGCTGCAACTTGTCCATGCCCCCCCCGCTTCTCCTTCACACAAATTCAGACAGCTGATGTTCTGAAAGAGCTGCAAAATCTGGACCCCTACAAATCATCTGGGCTAGACAATCTGGACCCTTTCTTTCTAAAACTAGCCGCCGAAATTGTCGCAACCCCTATTACTAGCCTGTTCAACCTCTCTTTCGTAACGTCTGAGATCCCCAGAGATTGGAAAGCTGCAGCGGTCATCCCCCTCTTCAAAGGGGGTGACACTCTAGATCCAAACTGTTACAGACCTATATCCATCCTGCCCTGCCTTTCGAACGTTTTTGGAAGCCAAGTTAACAAACAGATCACCGACCATTTCGAATCCCACCGTACCTTCTTCGCTATGCAATCCGGTTTCCGAGCTGGTCATGGGTGCACCTCAGCCACGCTCAAGGTCCTGAACGATATTATAACCGTGATCGATAATAGACAGTACTGTGCAGCCGTCTTCATCGACCTGGCCAAGGCTTTCGACTCTGTCAACCACCGCATTCTTATTGGCAGACTAAATAGCCTTGGTTTCTCAAATGACTGCCTCGCCTGGTTCACCAACTACTTCTCAGATAGAGTTCAACGTGTCAAATCGGAGGGCCTGTTGTCTGGACCTATGGCAGTCTCTATGGGGGTGCCACAGGGTTCAATTCTTGGGCCGACTATTTTCTCCGTATATATCAATGATGTCGCTCTTGTTGCTGGTGACTCTCAGATCCACCTCTACGCAGACGACACCATTTTGTATACATCTGGCCCTTCATTGGACACTGTGTTAACAAACCTCCAAACGAGCTTCAATGCCATATAACACTCCTTCAGTAGCCTCCAACTGCTCTTAAACACTAGTAAAACTAAATGCATGCTCTTCAATCGAACGCTGCTGGCACCCGCCCACCTGACTAGAATCACTACTCTCGACGGGTCTGACCTAGAGTATGTGGACAACTACAAATACCTAGGTGTCTGGTTAGACTGTAAACTCTCCTTCCAGACTCACATTAAGAATCTCCAATCCAAAGTTAAATCTAGAATCGGCTTCCTATTTCGCAATAAAGCCTCCTTCACTCATGCTGCCAAACATACCCTCGTAAAACTGACTATCCTACGATCCTTGACTTCGGCGATGTCACTTTACAAAATAGCCTCCAACACTCTACTCAGCAAATTGGATGTAGTCTATCACAGTGCCATCCGTTTTGTCACCAAAGCCCCATATACTACCCACCACTGTGACCTGTACGCTCTTGTTGGCTGGTCCTCACTACATATTCGTCGCCAAACCCACTGGCTCCAGGCCATCTATAAATCACTGCTAGGCAAATCCCCGCCTTATCTTAGCTCACTGGTCACCATAGCAACACCCACCCGTAGTATGCGCTCCAGCAGGTATATCTCACTGGTCATCCCCAAAGCCAAACACATCCTTTGGCCGCCATTCCTTCCGGTTCTCTGCTGCCAATGACTGGAATGAATTGCAAAGATCTCTGAAGCTGGAGACTCTTATCTCCCTCACTAACTTTAAGCATCAGTTTTCAGAGCACCTTACCTGTACACAGCCCATTTGAAATTAGCCCACCCAACTAACTCATCCCCATATTGTTATTTATTTTGCTCATTTGCACCCCAGTATCTCTATTTGCACATCATCTCTTGCACATCTATCATTCCAGTGTTAATACTAATTGTAATTATTTTGCACAATAGCCTATTTATTGCCTTACCTCCATTACTTGCTACATTTGCACACACTGTATATATATTTTCTGTTGTATTTTTGACTTTATGTTTTGTTTTACCCCATATGTAACACTGTGTTGTTGTTTTTGTCGCACTGCTTTGCTTTATCTTGGCCAGGTCGCAGTTGTAAATGAGAACTTGTTCTCAACTGGCTTACCTGGTTAAAGAAAGGTTAAATTTAAAAAAAGAAATTTTTAATGCCCTCCCATTGCTGCGCTCCCACCGGCCTCACAACCGCAGACTGAGGAGTATTTCTGTCTGTAATAAAGCCCTTTCGTGGGGAAAAATTCATTCTGACTGGCTGGGCCTGGCTCCCCAGTGGGTGGGCCTGGCTCCCCAGTGGGTGGACCTATGCCCTCCCATTGCTGCGCCCCTGCCCATTCATGTGAAATTCATAGATTAGGGCCTAATTTATTTACTTCAATTGACTGATTTCTTTATATGAACTGTAACTCAGTAAAATCGTTGAAATTGTTGCATGTTGCGTTTATATTTTTGTTCAGTACACATCATAATGCAACATTGTATAGTAGTACAGAGTCTGGGATATGTTCTCTGATGTCAAAAGATTATCATTCAAGTATTCCTCTCAGAGTTGATATCCTTATAGTCCATTTTGTGAGAAACTGAAGTTGGTAATGATATCCAAGTACAAGACAATAGAAAGGTAAGCCTATACTGAGTGATACATATCTTATTTGATTCATATGCAGTTGTTCATTTAAATATTATCAAGTCCATCTTGACGAACCTTGGTAGAGCACCTTGAACATAAATGGATCTCCTAGGCTTCGAATCATTCATGACTTTAAAAAATAGGAAACAGTGAGGCATCTGAAAGAAATAGAACCTTTGAACATCATTGCACAGTAATCTTTGGCTCATAAAAACCTGATAGCAGAGAGACACTATTGATGACTGAGGCCATACAAATAAAATAAAAACCTGTAAAATTAAAAGTTTTACTGTTCACTTTTTAAACATTTAATAAAATGTGTATGGCCTGACTAATAGAGAGGTGCACAGCTGCAGCTGCTGTACCATTCTTGAGAACATGCTGCATTCCTGAACAGAACAGCTCCCATAGGACATCAGCAGTCATCACCAAGGGCACGTTTCAATAGTCAAAAATGTCCTCCTCTCCTCAGCTCCTTTCATCTTCACTTATCTGCTCATAATTTCTAGCGGAAGTGTGCAATATGATGCATCCCTATCAGGTTGCACATCCTCCACTCAGGTTTCACACCAGGGCAGACTAAGGAAAAGCGATCCGGAGAAAGGAGCCACCTTAGACTATTGACATACGCCCTATGAGGTTCTTCCTGCCAAATTGCACCCTATTCCCTATGTAATGCACTACTTTTGACCAAGGCCCTAAAGGTAGTGCACTACAAAGGGAATTGGGTGCCATTTGTGACGCAGACCTTGTCTGGAATGGAGCAATGAGGTGTCGTGTTTCAGTGTGCGGAGCGTCTCTGCAGCTGGTCATAGATGGCTGTGGTGATTCCCCAGCTGATACAGCCCCTGAGGATAACCAGGGAACCTCCGCGGTACAGCAGGGGGACGCTCCTCTTCAGCCGACCTTCCCACAGGGCCTTCCAGCTCCCCCTCACCCCCGCTGCCTCACCCACCACCTCAGCCTGCATGTTGACCACCAGCACAGACAGAGGATACAGGGGCAGGTTGATCACCATGGAGCTGATCACCATTCCTGACAGGAAGGATGAGGCCATAGGAGGAAGCCCCTTCTCCCTCAGAGCAGCACTGAAGGGGTCCTTCAGGCCGAAGTAGATGCAGCTTCCCAGGGTGTTACGGGCCAGTATGGGGATGAAGGCTCTGTAGTACCCCATCCCCAGCCTCTCTGCCCCCAGACGGGCCAGCACGCTCTTCAGCGTGGGCAGGCTGCGGTCATTGCCCCCGTTCTGCAACACATTCTGCACACGCTCAAATGGCGTGAACACCAAGGCCTCCACCACGCCCGTGCCGAGCCCGGCCACAGCTGGTAACGCGGAGAGAGGGGTGACGCTGCAGGGGTTGGTGAAGGAGGAGAGACAGTGGAGGAAGGTGTCATGTATCCCGAAAATTAGCGCCCCGTTCAGGGTTCTCATCAGTAGAGGGGGCACCACCCCCCTGTAGAGCTTCAGGAAACCCTCCTCCCTGAGTTGGCCTATAGCCTGTCTGACTACGGTGCTGTGAAGCTGCTGGCGGAACACAGTCTTGTAGATGGGGAAGGTGGCGATGGTGGTGAGAGTGGACACCAGGCTGGAAGTTCCACCATGGAGGAAACTGGGGAGCCTAATCATAGTGTCCTTCCTGAGGACTTGGTCATCATGGTTATCTCCAGGACCACGCCTCATCACTGAGAGGACAAGATGTGAGAACAAGACGCACCATATTGAAGAGAGGGTGGATACAGACAGATGGATGCAGACTAGTTAAATGGACAATACAATCATAAAAATATAGCCTATAATAATACTCTAATCTATGAATAATAAACACATGCATAAACTCTTGATAACACTGCAATATTCAACAATCCCTTTAGAATAGTAACAGCTTGTGGAAAAAAACAACTGTCAACCAACCAAAATGTATCAACTACCTTTAAACTTGCTCATCAGCTATATGCCCTAATGAATCACTTCTACGATTAATTACACCTAAGAAAATGATTTTTGTTTAATGAGCAACAGTTTAAAGAATACATTTTAGCCTACTTACCAGAACACCGAAAACGATTGTTTAGCCTACAGATGATTGTCGTTATATATATATATAGCCTAGTCGGGTATCGATCTGCAGTTTGCCAATCCGTCGCAAGCGTTTACAAGAAATTACCTGTGTTTCGATGCACGAGCGAAATGAAAGCAACCCTTGCCTACATCACGCCCTTATCTGTATGCGGCCACGCATATTTTCAGCTGGCAGGCAAAACAACCAAGCCTGAAATAACAATTGGAAAATATCAACTAAATAAATGTGTGTTGTATCGGGTTAAGAATAATTCATTATAAAACCGACAGGAAATAACGGTGTGGGGAGCGCTTCTATGGTCATTGCCGGTTGTTTCTCGCCCCTCCTATAATTACCATTGGATGGATTTCTTCGACCGGTCTCCGTCGATTGGACAGCATCACCTATCAATCAATGTCGTGCAGGGAGCGTTTATCACTGAAGACAGGAAATTGTCGGCTGATCGCTTAAGTATTAGGGCCAAGCGAAGAGATGTACTTAAAAAGTGGCAATATTTCGAGAATATACTCGAAATGTAATTTTGAGAATCAAGTCTAAATGTTGAGAATATAGTCGCAGTTATAGTTCAAGATTAAAGTAGGGGGATTGGGTCAACTGCATGTCTCAATGGCTCCCTGTTGCTGTGCGCGCCACTGTTGAAATGCCTGCAGTTAGAAGACCTGGTGAAACTATACTTTAGAATTTACTTTAGTAACAAGGAAATGTAACGATCTCGGTTCGACAGAGAAAGCAAGTACAGGGTGATGATTTAATAAATAAAAGACATGGAACAAAGCATGTTTTGGGATAACCTATGCGTCCTTCATTCATTCCTCCCATCCTTGAAGACCATGGGAGGAATGAAAGGAGATATTACGCTGGGCTAACCAAGTCATGTCATCATCAGTGATGATTTCTTTATAGCCTAATAGGCCTATATTTATACTGAAGAAAAATATAAACGCAACATGTCAGTTGTTGGTCCCATGTTTCATGAGCTGAAATAAAAGATCCCAGAAATGTTCCATATGCACAAAAACCTTATTTCTCTCAACTTTTGTGCACAGATTTGTTTACATCCCTGTTCGTGAGCATTTCTCCTTTGCCAAGATAATCCATCCACCTGACAGGTGTGGCATATCAAGAAGCTGATTAAACAGCATGATCATTACACAGGTGCACCTTGTGCTGGGGACAATAAAATGCCACTCTAAAATATGCAGTTTTGTCAAACAACACAATGCCACAGATGTCTCAAGTTTTGAGGGAGCGTGCAATTGGCATGCTGACTGCAGGAATGTCCACCAGAGCTGTTGCCAGAGAATGTAATGTTCATTTCTCTAACATATGAATTTGGCAGTAAGTCCAACCGGCCTCACAACCGCAGACCACGTGTAACCACGCCAGCCCAGGACCGCCACATCCGGCTTCTTCAGCTGTGGGATCATCTGAGACCAGCCATCTGGACAGCTGATGAAACTGTGGGTTTGTACAACTGAAGAATTTCTAAACAAACTATCAGAAACCGTCTCATGGAAGCTCATCTGAGTGCTCATCGTCCTCACCAAGGTCTTGACCTGACTGCAGTTCGGCGTTTTAACCGGCTTCAGTGGGAAAATGCTCACCTTCGATGGCCACTGGCACACTGGAGAAGTGTGCTCAACACAGATGAATCCAGGTTTCAACTGTGCCGGGCATATGGCAGACAGTGTGGCGAGTGGTTTGCTGATGTCAACGTTGTGCACAGAGTGCCCCATGGTGGCGGTGGGGTTATGGTATGCGCAGGCATAAACTGCGGACAACGAACACAATAGCATTTCATCGATGGCAATTTGAATGCACAGAGATACCATGACGAGATCCTGAGGCCCATTGTCTGCCATTCATCCACCGCCATCACCTCATGTTTCAGCATGATAATGCATGGCCCCATGTTGCAAGGGTCTGTACACAATTCCTGGGAGATGAAAATGTTCCAGTTCTTCCATGGCTTGCATACTCACCAGACATGCCACCCATTTAGCATGTTTGGGATGCTCTGGATCAACGTATCCAACAGTGTGTTACAGTTGCCGCCAATATCCAGCAACTTCACACAGACATTGAAGAGGAGTAGGACAACATTCCACAGGCCACAATCAACAGCCTGATCAACTCTATGCAGAAGGAGATGTGTCACGCTGCATGAGGCAAATGGTGATCACACCAGATACTGACTGGTTTTCTGATCCATGACATTTCCTTTTTTATATATATATTTTTAAAGGTATCTGTTACCAACAGATGCATATCTGTATTCCCAGTCATGTGAAATCCATAGATTAGGGCCTAATGCATTTATTTCAATTGACTGATTTCCTTAAATGAACTGTAACTCAGTAAAATCGTAGAAATTCTTGGATGTTGCGTTTATATTTTTGTTCAGTGTAGATCAATTATTATTTCAAGAAAGGGAGAATGCAACCATGAATATATTCAAACGGCGCCTCAGATTAGCTGGTTTGCGAGTGTAGGAGTGGTCCCTTGAGTTGCTTCTCCTCATACAGACACTTGCGTAAAACCCCTGCTCCATTTTTCTTACTTCCCTCAGCGTTGGATAGGCCTATGCTTTACTTTCACTTGCCCACTGTAATGTACGATTAGCCTACAGGTTAGGGTACTCAATATACTGGGCGCTATAGGTTTATAATGCGCTGCAAAATAGCAGTGTTGTAGCGAATTTGGAGAGCAGCTTGACATGGGACACACACGCATAGCCCCCGGTCTCCAGGATCCCAAGATAATTCGTTTTATTGGGTGTGCGCACGTAGCCTACTAGCCTATAGTCGTTGGAAGGATAGTTGCCATAAGGAGGAAATACTACTGTTATATTAAAGCACCATGGATAAGGTCGTTAATAGTTTTCATTATGCACAGACTTTTTTTGCAAGGTGTTCGGCTAGGCTACGCAGCAGAACATTGAAGCGAATTCGGAGGGCAGACTGCCAGGGACTCAACCCCAGTTCTCTTCCCATTCAATGACAGTGCCAAGAAAGTGTTTGTTTGTGCTCATAAGGCACCATGGCCATTAGAAGAGTTTATGCCTATAGTCTGAAATTGCCAGTGTTAGAAATTGCATAATTCAAATCTGGTATTGAAATAAGAATCAAGAGATCTTCAATCCAAGCTAAATTTATTATATGCAAAATGTATGTATGATAAGTATGTTGGTTCGTATACGGGCTCACTGAAAAACCTCGCAGGGCAGACAGAGAACTAAATCCATTGTTTACATGTTCTTCCGCAAATACTCTGACAGAGAGAGTTTCCCACCTCTCTGCTGGCCAATCAGAGTAGAGACTTGAGCGTGGTTTAGACTTACTCAACCTATCCGTTGGCGCACCGGCTGTTCCCCGCCTCTTCTGTTACCAGGCATACGTTTATCATAACAACCTGTCATAGTGAGAAGAGCCAGCTCCCCTAGACACCATTCCTACGTCCAAGGATGGTTCAAAGATCACAAAGAACCAGTATATTCTAGTATTTGGAGACACAAATCCTTATCTCATTTTACCCCCTAAAACAGCTCTTCACATCAATCACAGCCTGCCAGGTGACACAACCTACATTAACCCAGTCAAGAATGCATTCTTTCTAAGTTAGTCATCCCATCAATTATAAAAAATAATAAATCTCTCACACCAGGTGGGAAACTTGGTGTGTGTGTGCATGCGTATGCGAGTTATTCGATAATTCGATTGATAAACGTGAGTGTGTGCAGTGACGCCTGTTTGAACGAGTGTATTAGATAAATGGCCATTTGAGAGCCATGCACTTAACCAAATCCCCTATGTGAATCTTGAAATTAAACTTGATACTTTATTCTCGAAATTGAATTGAGTTTATTCTCGAAATATTGTCACTTTAAAAAAAGTTATATTATGCAAAAAAATATATACACGTCGCTGTTTATTTTATTTTTCGCTCTTCAATTGGCCCTAATAATCTTCCGTAGTTAAAGAGGCTGCTGCAGCTATACCAGCAATAAACTGTGGTTCCAATGAGACTACACCGACAACTAAAGGGTGTACAGCACTGATAACGTGTCATTATGAGTTAGCCTATACCGTTAGCATTTTATGAAACACAGCCTACTATGCCACGGTAGCCTGTATAGTCACTGGAATGTTACCAGCAGCAGAGCCTTGATATATGGATAACCTAATAAACAAACCAGAATCCAGGCTTCGTTCGTTTTCACCATCTCTTTAATAAGATCACATTCAGCCATCAGATATTTTGGTGCACTGATTCACCTTAATGCTAAACAAGTCAAGTCAACATACACAAAATCAGAATATAAGCACATACATGAAACTTTAAAAAGTCAGACAGATACCACTCTTTCGAGGTTTATTATACAAATGTTATTGAAAAAATAAAAGTCAATAAAAAATAAAAATAGCAGATCGACTTTTCTAGGAAGCTCCATCCTGCAGAGCTAAAAACCAACAGCTTCTAGACGGCAACCTCGAATAGCAAAACCTGCCTCCTCTGCACCCACACTGAAATAATGATTCCCAATAGTCTTAAGAGGGGCAATCCGCGATTCGAAAAAGCGCTTACCCCACTACTTGTTCAGGTCAACAGCTGAGGAATGGGATTGGAGGAATATACCCACTCTCAAATTTCTAGACAGAGGTAGGGATGCAGATCATGAGGATCATGGAGGAGGCATTTATAAGTTATATTCTACAAGAATCAGTGGCTATATATCATTCATTTATACATTAAGGCCAAAAATAGAAGTACCAATCCTGGATTGCCCCTTTAAAAGAGTTAAGTCTCTACAGACTGTTGTGAATCACCCAGAGGAACATCAGTGACACTGTCAACTATAGCTCATTCACTTAACTCATTATGAGCCTCATCTTTCAAACTGATAAAATGAATTGAAACCAAAATAATAAAATACCTGAAGTCAGTCAACATCCAACCATCTCTCACCCTGTTTTTGTAACATAGTAGAAGTATTGTAACAGCATTATTATGAAAAGGGGAGACGGTTCACATTAGCTAGAGGCTTGTGTGTGTGAGTTCACCCACTCACAATAAATCATCAAAGCTGACTTTTTTAGACATGTCCCAAATTGCACCCTATTCCCCATGTAGTGCACAACTTTTGACCAGGGCCCATATGGCACTAGTCAAAAGAAGTTCACTATGTAGGAAAAGGGTGCAATTTGGGATGCTAGCACTGTTTAGGGGTGAGAGGGCCTCAAAATGAACATGTCATTATTATTGATAATAATCATTGATCCAAATTGTAATTATGACATGGTTAGTTAGCAATAGCAGCAGAGTGATGCTAATATAAATGGTGGTGTTTCTCAGGGTTGGGGTCAATTCCATTTAAAACTCAGTCAATTCAGAAAGTAAACCTACTTCCAAATCCACATTTCCCTAATTGAAAAGCATTGAAGAGAATTGGAAATGGAATGTCAGCGTACTTCTTGAATTGACAGGAATTGAAATGGAATTGACCCCAACCCTGGTGTTTGTATAGAACATTCCCCCTCTTCCTCGTTTTGGTGTAACAGAACCATAGGGCTGGATTCTCTTCAGTGATGAGAAACATTCCAGAATACTGGGCAGAGAAATGGAATGAAGAGCTGACTCTGCATTCCTTGTTCTACCTGAAAGACAATCATATCTGTTCCCCAAATCCCCTATTCTGCATGAGAGATGGCCATGTCTGTTCTATCTGAATGTTCTGTGGTGTTGTGCCCTCCTGAACAGTGCCCCAGGTGACTCAGTGTGCGTGTGTGTGATGTGGTGTGTGGCAGTGTGTGTGTGTGGCGGAGTGTGTGTGGTGTTACAAGGGGACGTGGCTAAAGAGGTAGGAGACAGATTCCCCGTTGTGGGTCCTGCGGATGGCCTCCGCAAGGATCATAGAGATGTCAATCACCTACAGGAGAAACAGATGGTTAACACATAATAAATGTTCAGGAAACATCCGGATACATGTCAGACTATTTACCGTTTATAAACAAAGTGTGCTTTATCTCATTTAATAATAAAATAATAATAATAATATGCCATTTAACAGACGCTTTTATCCAAAGCGACTTACAGTCATGCGTGCATACATTTTTTTTTTGTGTATGGGTGGTCCCAGGGATCGAACCCACTACCTTGGCGTTACAAGCGCCGTGCTCTACCAGCTGAGCTACAGAGGACCATTTATAGAGTGAACTTTTAAAATTATTTTAGCACAAACTGTTTAGGTGATACGATTATTCAAACTATTCGCTGTTGTCTTAGTTGTTAAACATCACAGTAGCAACAATATAATTTCAGCTTAAACCACCTTAACATTGGACAGTATGACAGTCTACTTATGTTGAGGTGAATAACCATGTTATAACCTCTGACCCCTGACCTGTATCTTAGGACAGTAATATAACATTTGACCCCTAACCTGTATCTAAGGACAGTGCTGTGACCCCTGACCTGTATCTTAGGACAGTGCTGTGACCCCTGACCTGTATTTTAGGACAGGTCTTCATCTTCTCCTCCTGAGGGATAGTGTTGGTGACGACCACAGCCTCGAAGCAGGCGTTGTTGATGCGGGAGATGGCCGGGCCAGAGAAGATACCGTGGGTCAGGATGGCATACACCTTGGTAGCACCAGCTGAGATCAGCCTGAAGGGTGAAGGGACAGGATCTCCTTAAAAAACTGGGTTTGGGATTATAGCGCCGCCACATTTACCTGTTTGGATACGCTGACTTTTGCTGCAAGGACTCTCATTTAGATGAAGGAGAAGTGAAATGTGAAATAGTGGTGGTTATTTCCACAGCTCTGTAATACGAAGGTCTTGACGTCAAATCAGAGATCCATTTTAATGTATAGGATCATAATTAATGTTTGTTTTTGTATGGTTAAGATTCAGCCCAGACACCCATTGCCTGGGCATAGATACATGTGTCAAGGTTAGTCAAGGTCATAAGGTGAGACTTTACTTACTTGTCGGCTGCGTGACAGATAGTACCACAGGTGTCTGCCATGTCATCCACCAAGATGGCTACCCGGTCCGTGACGTCCCCGACCAGCACCATGCGATCCACCTCGTTGGCCCTCTTTCTCTCTTTGTGGATCAGAGCAAAGTCCACGTTGAGCCTGTCCGCTATGGAGGTCACTCTGTCACACAGAACATAATACACAGTGTTAAGAGCAAGCCAAGTCACAGAGGCACAACAGTTGGTCGACTGTTATCGCTTAAAGATTTGTTAGTGTGAAGGAGCAGTTAGACACACAAACGTGTGAATCTAAAGTCCATTTCACAGATAAGGCAGAGTTAAAGAAAGACATGGCTCAAGGGTAAAACCACCTAAGGTAAGAGAGAGAGAGTTGATGTCCTTGAAGCAGTAGTGGCGCTTTGAAGCAGTTGTCTAGCATGCACACAGTGGTTCCCATATTTTCCAAGCATTCTCCTATCTCCATCTTTCTCTGATGAATCAAATTTCTTATTTTGGCCAAAAGCCCTCCGACCAAAAGCTTTTTGACTACTCTGTCCTGTCTCACCTCTTGGCACCCCCTGCGTCTGGAGAGACGATAGTGCAGGTCTTCCACTCTGCGATGTTCTCCTTGATCCACTTCAGTACAGCAGGCTCAGCATACAGGTTATCCACTGGGATGTCAAAGAAACCCTGGAGATACCAGAGACACACAGACAGGAGTCAGAGGCTGCCATCTCCAGTCATTGTGCCCTTGAGCAAGTAACTTAACCCCTATAGAACTCCATGTGTGGTGTGTGTTTGCTGATTGTGTCATCTGTTGGATTGGAGGGAGCAAAAGAATAATTTACATTTGATGGACTCAGTGTATCGCTACAGTCTGGCTGTTTGGTCCTCTACTGCCAGACCCCAGTGTCCTCCCTACTCCTGACCTCTACTGCCAGACCCCAGTGTCCTCCCTACTCCTGACCTCTACTGCCAGACCCCAGTGTCCTCCCTACTCCTGACCTCTACTGCCAGACCCCAGTGTCCTCACTACTCCTGACCTCTACTGCCAGACCCCAGTGTCCTCCCTGCTCCTGACCTCTACTGCCAGACCCCAGTGTCCTCCCTACTCCTGACCTCTACTGCCAGACCCCAGTGTCCTCCCTACTCCTGACCTCTACTGCCAGACCCCAGTGTCCTCCCTACTCCTGACCTCTACTGCCAGACCCCAGTGTCCTCCCTACTCCTGACCTCTACTGCCAGACCCCAGTGTCCTCCCTACTCCTGACCTCTACTGCCAGACCCCAGTGTCCTCCCTACTCCTGACCTCTACTGCCAGACCCCAGTGCCCTCTCTGCTCCTGACCTGGATCTGTGAGGCGTGGAGGTCCATAGTGATGATGTGATCAGCCCCAGACACAGACAACATGTTAGCCACCAGCTTGGCTGAGATGGGCGCCCGACTCTGCAAGGAAACACACACACACACACACACACCTCATTTGTTGTACTCACATCACATGATATGAGCTGAGTCTTCCATCTTAAAAGTTGGTCCGTACTACATTTCCTTCCTAAGCAACATGGGGCAACAGATAGGCTATTCTAAACTACAGTCACATGTACAACAACTTCAAACTACTCAGCTTCTTCAAGCCCAAGAAAAGTGATACTGTACAAAAAGTTAATAACAGTATATTTTTGGCAGATACATAGTACATGCAATACATTATATTGTGGGCACAAGGACATGCACTGATATAAACCATCAGAGGAATGGAGGCAGGCAGGTGGCGGTAACAATACAAACAGAAGCCACAGTGACTGCTCACTCTGTTCACAGTTTAACTTAAATCAGTGGAGAGAAATCAAATCAAAACAAAACCCAGGCATGCTCCCAGTCCCATCCATCTGCTGTGGCTGCCTGCTGGGGTCTGTCCATGCAGTCAGTGGCAGCAACATGGGTCGTCGGGTCACACTGGACATTGATGTGGTATAATGGCAGGGTTGGGGTCAATTCCATTTCAATTCAGGAAGTACAGTGAAATTCCAATGCTTTTTAATAAATAAATAAAAATGTGGAATTGGAATTTGGTACTTTCTGAATTGACTGGAATTGAACCCAACTCTGGTGATGTGGTATTAATGGTCGGCGGCGTGACAGTAGAGTAACTAGATGTCTGTCCCTCACCCCCACCTTGTCCTTCTTGTCCTGCCGTGCGTAGGGGAAGCAGGGGATGACCGCTGTGACCCGGGAGGCCGAGGCGATCTTACACGCATTGATCATAATCAGCAGCTCCATCAGATTATCATTGATCTCCCCACAGCCGCTCTGTACGATGTAGACATCCTCTCCACGCACACTCTCCCCGATCTCAACACTGTTAGGGCCCAGGGGTGAGGAGGAGAGGGGACGAGCAAATGGGGAGGGGAAAAGAGAGGGGAGGAGTGGGGGGGGGGGGGGATCGGGAGGGAGGGGGGAGAGGGAGGGAGGGAGGGAGGGAAGGAGAGGGAGGGAGGGAGGGAAGGAGAGGGAGGGAGGGAGGGAGGGAGGGAGGGAGGGAGGGAGGGAGGGAGGGGGGGGATCGGGAGGGAGGGAGGGAGGGGGTGTTCGGGAGGGAGAAAGTGGAAGACAGGGTAAACAACACTCTCTGCTAACACAGCATGACACTAGTTGTGATGGATAATCATCATGAGACAGCGAAAACACAGCCTACAGGTGTTTAGGGCTAGGGGCCTTAGAAGTGCAGTGACAAGAGAAGATTTCGGAGTAGGCTAAGTACAGTGAAAATACAACTACTGTATGACCAAAGTGCTCAACAGCACGGAATGAGAAGTATACAGCTTGATGCATCAGTGTTACACAATTAGTTACAAGAAACAATAGTTTCACTTTTGCTAGCCTGTAGGGGTTGTCAGCACTCCCAATATTCAGAAATTAGTTGAAATGTAGTTCGCCCTATGCCCAACAAACTGAGCGCCAAAATGAACTCCAGTTATGCGTGACATAAACTACAAGTTCCAAGCACCTTTGCGAGGCAGCATCAAAAGCAGCATGCTAACATAACGTTTCTTACACATTTCTCGAACATAAGATTTAAACAGGTCAGCATTCTATACATTAAAAGTTTACACTGACCATGTTTCTTGATTGCTGAATTTCTTGGTGACAACCTTCCCGAGTTCCATTCCAAGACGGTCGGCAATTTTGTGAGACAGTTCCCGATGCGAGCTACCGCTGAATATCTTAATGTTCGGCATTTTTGTATGTTCCAGGGCGTCGTTCTACGGAAGCTAGCTACAGTGCTAGTAGCAACAAATGAGTGACGTACGATCTATTAGTTCTAGTGAACTGTTGGAAATCGATCGCTAGTCGATAGCTATCATCAAGCTTGATGCGTTGGCTACCTATCAACCATCATTCCCTTCATCACGCGTGCGCCTGACCTTCTTCCTGGGCTTCTTCTTCTTTTGGGTTTAACGGTGGTTGGCATCCAATATGTTGCATTACCGCCCCCATCTGGACTATAATATATATCCATTATAATTTGTGATACAAAATGGGAAAAACCAAAAATAAATAAAACCTTCCAACTAACCCTACACTCATTAAAAATGCAATACCCCATTCCACTACTTTGACCCTATCTGCTCCTGCGCCCAGCCAGCCTAACCAGCCGCACCATGCCAAAGGCTTGGGAGGACGGGACACCACCATTCAGCACACCCTGTAACTCTTCCAATTGGCATGCTGACTGCAGGAATGTCCACCAAAGCTGTTGCCAGAGAATTTAATGTTAATTTCTCTACCATAAGCTGCCTCCAATGTCATTTTATAGAATTTGGCAGTACATCCAACCGGCTTCACAACCACAGACCACGTGTAACCACACCAGCCCAAGACCTCCACATACAGCTTATTTACCTGCAGGGTCGTCTGAGACTAGCCACCTGGACAGCTGATGAAACTGAGGAATATTTCTGTCTGTAATAAAGCCCTTTTGTGGGGAAAAACTCAATTTGATTGGTTGGGCCTCGCTCCCAAGTGGGTGGACCTATGCCCAGTCATGTGAAATCCACAGATTAGGGCCTAATTAATTTATTTCAATTGACTGATTTCCTTATATGAACTGTAACTCAGTGAAATCGTTGAAATTGTTGCATGTTGCATTTATATTTTTGTTCAGTATGCTTAGTTGAATGAACAAGCCCTGTGACAAACCAGAATACTAGTAATGGGCATTCCGAGTCTTTTCTGTGAGCCGGATCATTTGGCTCCGTTCACCTAAAAGAGCCGTCATTTGGCTCCCAAATGGCTCTTTGTTCAGTAAGGCTTAGAAATTGAAAACACATTAACAAATTGTCCATCTCTAATTTAAAGCCTAAAACGTTGCCTACCATTATGTCAGATACTGAAATGTGAGTTTAACTCTTCGGAGTCTGGAGCTTTTTTGGCCGTTTTTGGGTACCTTCAATTTTGCCCTGATATACTACATAAAGAAATGTTTACCAGACCAATGTTGGGTATCTTTTTTTTCAGCACAACCTCACCTATATGATCTGTTAGTAAGTTTTTCACTTTGACATACTATTTCAACACACTGGACCCAAACACACACAGAAAACACAAAGTCCGTTTAGAAAAAAGATGGTTTTTTTATTGTAAAACCCTCAAACATGGTGAACCAAGCATTTAAAAAGCTTCAAATTGAACCACAAGGTGCAAATATGAACATATAAAAGTATTTTGGTGATATATACAAGCAATAAATAACTATTTACAATAAAAAGTAGGTATAACCACTGGCGTTTTTCTTCTATTCTAACCCTAAACCTTTTTGTGCCACTCCTCAAAACAGTTTCTGTCCAAAATGAAAAAAAAAGCTTCAAATTGAACCACAAAGTGCAAATATGAACATATAAAAGTATTCTTGAGATATATACAAGCAATACACAACTATTTACAAAAAAAGTAGGTATAGCCACTGGCCTTTACCCTATTTGTGCCACTCTTCAAAACAGTTCCTGTCCACAATGACACAGAGAGCCACATCACAGGCCTTGCACTTCCATGGTGTGACAAACCTCTTCTTGTCAACTTGTTTACAGCGTTGACAAACCCTGCGGCCTGCTGTGGCTTTGTCTTTGGCCTCTGCAACATTGGCAATGGCCACAGGAACATGGCTGGTGCTTTTTTGAAGTGGAACCCCTGTCTGGGTCACTCCGCACAGCTGGGCCACAAGTTCTGCCACAAAGTTCTTGTGCGTCATGGGTGTGACCTGTTGGGTCGCACTGATGTCACAGTGCAGGATGTATGCATTTGTTGTTCCCATGTCCAAAAAATGCAGGAAGAGGGTACGGTACCAGCGAGCAGTTCTGCGATGGGTTGAGTAATACTGGAGAAGCTGGTCTGACAGGTCAACCCCTCCCATGTACTTATTGTAGGCCATGATGGGGGTAGGGCAGGGAATGTCTTTTGCTACCCAGCGTCCAGGTCCTTCCTTCACCTTCCTCTTGATTGTCTCGCCCGAAAACGCTGGGTGGATTGTGGAGCACACCGACACCTCCCGCGTATCCATCCACTTCACAAAGACCAGGCGATCCTCTCTGATCCATCTCACAGACCCCCTCTTCGATTTGCTGGTGAGGGCATTTTCTCTGCCACTAGGACACCCTTTTCTGTTGCTTCTGTAGGTCCCACAGGCTCCAAACTTCATACTTCCCAAACTCAGGAACAGTTTTGGGCTGGTGTAGAAATTGTCCATATAAATATGGTATCCTGTACCAAGATGTGATGGCTAAATGAGGTCCATAACAGCATCATATGAAAGTCCATGCACGCTGGGTGTGTGTGCTTTCCCAACATACACGTTGAAGTTTAGAGTGTAGCCATTGTTAGACTCTGCCAACACAAAGAGCTTGATCCCCCATTTGTTAGGCTTGTCCTTCATGTACTGGGTCATGCCAGTTTTGGCTTTTGTAGCCACCATCCTCTCGTCGACTGACAGTTCCTTCTTAGGATGGTAATGAGCCTGGCAGGCAGTGCGAATGTCGTCCATCAGAGGTTTGACCCTGAACAGTTTGTCATGCTGGGGTGTACCTTTGCGCTGGTCATTTATGACATCCTCCTCTGGATCACTTAGGTGGATGTTCCATGAGATGGACCGGAATATGTCTCTTGGCATGACCTTCGCTGGCAATGAAACAGACAATATGTGGCTTTGTTTCCAGTAGTCCTGGATACTAGGCAGAGTCACCAATGAGGTGTAGATGAGGAGACCCAGAAATCTGTGCAGTTCCTCCACATCAACGTCAGTCCACTGATATTTGCTCCCCTTCTGCTGATTTCTTGCTGCCTGTTTGTTGGTGTTTCTGCAGATTGTCCTCATTGTATCTGCGGCGAAGTAGAGCAGGAAGAGGTCCTTTGGTGTGTGCCCTGAATGCAAATCCACCTGGGCTCCTGGTGGTCTGCGGGGCATGAACCTACTGGCTTGTGGGGCAGTGTCAGGATCAGTCTCTCTTTTCCATGGCTCAGAGCTCTGTTCTGGCTGTGCTGCTGACTGGGCTGGAGATCTTGACCTGGTCTTGGCCTGATCCTTCCTTCCACGCCCCCTCTGTGATGGCCTCCGTCGGCTTGTTGTGGGGGTGGGGGCTGTTGATGGCCCAGGCTGCTCGTCGTCGTCGTCGTCACTATACAAAACAGGTAAACGGATTCAAGATTATTCAAAGTTCAAGATGTTCATTGGCATTTGCACTACAGTGAAGTAGAATAGAATACTATAGTAAGATAAACGAAAGCAATAAAACAAATTCATTTTAGAAAAATGTTTGTCTTCTTACCTCACGTTTTCAGCAACAAAATCAGGGTCCTCGAAGTCATCCTGGCCACTCTCATTGTCTGACGACGAACTTTCCAAAGTTTCTTCATCGCTCATTTGGAATAACAAGTCGACGGCTTGTTCAACGTGAAGTGTGCGCCTCATATTGCTTCACAAAAACGATACTGCTGACAATAAAACTCTTGAAATACTAACAATTGAAATACTAACTCGTGAAAAACTCTCCAAAACTACTCATGAACTGAACTAATTCCTCTCGTTCGTTCTTTCGCAATGGCTAGTTGTCATGGGAATGAATGTTTATATACTCGTGTGCATCCTGAAGAACCGGGTTAGCACAAGCACACGTTTTTTTCCGTTCCTTTTTATCACAAAAGACGACAAAGTTATTATAATAAATGCAAAGCGCTCATAAAAGAGCGCATATTTTGACGCACTTTTTTCATGGAATTGAAATTATCATAACTTTGGTTTTAGTTGGTGTATTTACATGAAACAAACACTCAAAACGTAGCTTCGGGTCTCCATTTCTGCATGAAATCGACGGCAGCCCTCTGCGTCACTTGGTTTGGATGCTGCGCGGTCCTAAAGCCGGCCCGCGATTTGAACGCGCCGAAGCGTTCGCCGACTCGGAAGAGTTAAATATATGTTATACAGTGGGGAGAACAAGTATTTGATACACTGCCGATTTTGCAGGTTTTCCTACTTACAAAGCATGTAGAGGTCTGTAATTTTGATCATAGGTACACTTCAACTGTGAGAGACGGAATCTAAAATCAAAAAATCAAAAATCCAGAAAATCACATTGTATGATTTTTAAGTAATTAATTTGCATTTTATTGCATGACATAAGTATTTGATCACCTACCAACCAGTAAGAATTCCGGCTCTCACAGACCTGTTAGTTTTTCTTTAAGAAGCCCTCCTGTTCTCCACTCATTACCTGTATTAACTGCACCTGTTTGAACTCGTTACCTATATAAAAGACACCTGTCCACACACTCAATCAAACAGACTCCAACCTCTCCACAATGGCCAAGACCAGAGAGCTGTGTAAGGACATCAGGGATAAAATTGTAGACCTGCACAAGGCTGGGATGGGCTACAGGACAATAGGCAAGCAGCTTGGTGAGAAGGTAACAACTGTTGGCGCAATTATTAGAAAATGGAAGAAGTTCAAGATGAAGGTCAATCACCCTCGGTCTGGGGCTCCATGCAAGATCTCACCTCGTGGGGCATCAATGATCATGAGGAAGGTGAGGGATCAGCCCAGAACTACACGGCAGGACCTGGTCAATGACCTGAAGAGAGCTGGGACCACAGTCTCAAAGAAAACCATTAGTAACACACTACGCCGTCAAGGATTAAAATCCTGCAGCGCATGCAAGGTCCCCCTGCTCAAGCCAGCGCATGTCCAGGCCTGTCTGAAGTTTGCCAATGACCATCTGGATGATCCAGAGGAGGAATGGGAGAAGGTCATGTGGTCTGATAAGACAAAAATAGAGCTTTTTGGTCTAAACTCCACTCGCCGTGTTTGGAGGAAGAAGAAGGATGATACAACCCCAAGAACACCATCCCAACCGTGAAGCATGGAGGTGGAAACATCATTCTTTGGGGA